CTGCGAGCTGCAAAGTTGCACTGTTGCACAGTTGGAAAACCTAGTGCTGCTCTGTGACAGTTTTTCATAGCTCCCCCCCCCAACGGCGGGGCTTTTTATCGACAATTTCACTTTTGCGCAGCCGCAGAGCTCGGGCATATGATGAAGATGCCCCCATGGAGGCACTTCTCCCTCTCTCTCTCTCTCTGTCTCCCAACAATTGCGGTGTGTGTGTGTGCGGTGGTTATTTTTCTGCCCCCGAAAAGATTCCCAAGCACACGGTTGGATCGCGTGCAATACCCTCCGAATCCAAGACCCAATAATACCCAATCTAAATCCCAGTTCCAGCTCTAGCTCTAGCTCTAGGAGCCCTCTTTTGGCTCATTTGTCAAACCTTATGGCGCTCTGGGTTGGCTTTTTCAAGTGCAAAGCCAAGGTTGCATGTCGCCCACTGTTTGGCGCTCATTGGGGATCCTCACCAGCGGCGGCGGGAGGCGCTTTTATTATCGACACGAAACTGGTTTTTGGGTCGAGTTCCCAGAGTTCCCAGACCAGATCCAGACTGGGTCTCTTGAGGGGGTTTTCACTTGGCAAAAAAATGTGACTCACTAAAGTTAAGATTATTGTTTTTAAATTAGTAAAAATGGTGAAATAAAGGAGAATTAAAAATTGAAAAAAATAAAGAGTAAAAGCCTTAAAATAAAACATAAATTTACTTAAATTAAGGGATATATTCCTTAAAAGGGATCCTAAGAATTTCTTAGCTAATTAATAAAGCATTTAAATAGTTAAGATTATGGGGTTTAAATTAAAGGTTTAACTCATGATAATTAGAATTTGGCTAATAAATTTAATTCTCAAATAAAATTAAAATTTAATTGATAAAAAAAACCTTAAAATTAACAATAAATATGGCTTATAATTATTTATGTTTAGGGTATATTCCCAAAAAAAATTCTTAGCGAAAAAATAAATTATAAAATATATAAAATATTATAATTTAAAATTTTTAAGCGTTTCCTATAAATTTTAAAAATAAAATATATATATATATATAAATAAACACTTTAAATTGAGAAAAGTAAAGGGATTAAAGTAACAATAAAAAAGGTTAATAATTATGTAAATTTAAAAATTGAAATGTTTAAGTGTTATCTATAATTTAAATAAAATAAATTAAATAAATATTATGAAATATACCAGAAATTTTTTAAATAAATTAAAATAAATCTACAAAAAATATGTATTTTTCCCTGATATTAATATTTATATATATATATTTTTTTTTAATATTTATATTTAAAAGTTACAGTGCCTAAATTATATTTGATTTAAAGTTGTAAATTAAAAGTTGGACTTAGGTGGTGTCTTTACATTTTTTTAAAATAAATAAAATCTTATAAAGTATATCTCTTGCTGAATTTTTCCCCGAGATTGATTTTCCTGCTACATTTTTTTTTAGATATTATTTATATTAATATTCAATTTTTTTGTGACATTGATCTGAGTGTAAGATTCACCTCCTCCATCTGTCAGCTGCTCGGTTGTTTGCCAACAGTTGCAGAATTTCACTTTCTTTTCAAATTGCGGCGACCTCGATTTATGGCCAACCCAGCGACATCGCCATGTGGACGCGATGCTGGATTCCAGCGGAGTGGGATTTTTGTGATAGCCTTTGTTTTGATGCCTACTCCTACATACCATATATATATATATATATATAAAGTAATCTTATATATATATATATAAGTATAATTGAATTACGTTGAGCCGCAGCTTCTCTAGGTGGAAGTATCCCAAATAAGCGAGGCGCTGAATAAAAAAAACATAAAATAATAATAATTATGGGAAAGTGAACGCCCATTGTTGGCTCCACCAACTGAACTGTCTCCCATTTTTTTCGGCTGCTTTTATTTTATTGATAACTCGCATTAATGAGAGCTCATTTTCACATAATTAGACGAGGGCTTAAGCTTAGTGGGGGACTGGGACTAAGACTGGCACAACTAGGTGCTTCTCTGTTTTGGGTCAATTATGAAGGAAAAAGGTGTGGTTTAATCGGTAAAAAATATATTTAATAGTTGAATTGTGTTTAATATTTTTATTTATTTATATTTAATATTTATTTATATATATATTTTATATTTTTTTACATTTATTTAATGTTTATTTATATATAATAAAGAATGCTACTTAGCTGCTTGCTTCTTGGCTTAGGTATCTTTTTTCTTCAATAAACAAATATTTATTTACATTTAATATTTAACCAAGTAATATTTTTTTTAATAAAAATGCATAAACAATATATAGTATAATTATTTATATTTAATATTTAACCAAGTAATATTTTTAACACCAAAATTAATTAATATTAAATGTGATTTAATACTTCACCAAGTAATATTTTTCAAATAAAAATGATAATATTTATTTATATTTAATCAAGTAATAATTTTTAAATTAAAATAAATGCTGCTTGGGCTTATTTAAAACCTTGTTTCCTCAGTAAAATATTTTTTATAATTATTTATATTTAATTTAATTAAAATTAATGCTTCTTTGGCTTGCTGCCTTTTTGCTCAAATATAAACTCAAGTAAAAATTATTATTAAATTATTTTAAATTATTTTAGACTATTCTAAACTATTTTAAACTACTTTAAACTATTTTCAACTATTTTAAACTATTTTAAACTGCTTTAAAATATATTTAAACTATTTTAAACCAATTTAAACTTCTTTAAAATATATTTAAACTATTTTAAATTATTTTCAAATATTAAAATTAACCCAAGTTAATGTTAAGGCTTACAAAAATGTTCATAATTTTAATTTCCTTAAAATACTATTATGTTTCCACAATTTAAGAAATATTTTCTTGATTACCTACGCTGGCTTCCCACAATTTCACCGATAACCGTTGACCCCATGGGCGACCTTGCCAGGGGGTGGCTCCATCGAATTGGATGCAGTGCAGCCAGTGCTGGCCATAAATCAGACTGAAAATAATGGCTGATGGCCGTGAATAATGGCAAATTGTCGTTTAGATGCACATGAGTTGCTGGAGGAAGTCGTAGATACTTGTCGTCCATAACTGCGGTTGCTGGTGGGCGAGTGTGTGTGTGGAAGGAAGTGGCAGAGGGAAGAGAGGAGAGAAGAGAGCAGGCCAGTAGCCGATGGCTATTTACCTTGGTTAATTAGCAATTTGGACAAGTGACCACCACCACGGACCAACCCAGCCCCTGTCCCCGACCGGAGAAAGCGGCCGTGCGAATTGAAAATCTGTCAATCGGCGCATTCGATTGGAATGTGTGACCATAAAAAGCCGAGCTCGCGGTCTGAGTTTATTTGTCAGGCACTCGGAAAACACACTAATTCAAGGGTCGAAAGTTCTTCCCAGGCCTGGAGTAGGATTTATTTCTATTTCTATTTATTTTAAAATCGATTTTATATTGAAGATCTCTATATCTTCTTCTACTAGGATTCAAGTTTACAGTTGAAATAAATACATAATATTTCTTTGTTAAATGTATCCAAGTAAATATGAAATATCTTCATCCTCTATCCTCCATCTTCCTCTTAATAATAATTTGCAAATATTTAGATCAACTGACAATCTCTCAAGAAATGTTTAGCCTTTGAATGGAAAACTTTTCGTGGCCGTTTTATAACCCTCTTTCAAGGTGTTCCACTGACCACCTGATAAACCCAAAAATTGGGTCTTTATCTCACTTAATGTTTCTCCGCTTAGTCAACTCGCTTGTTGTTCTGTCTGTAATCAGTTCATGGAAGTCTTTCCATTTGAATGTCATTATCGGTGGCCGAAAATGTTGATATTAATGTGTTTTCCTATCGAAGGTTGTTCACATATATATTGTTTATTATTTATTATTTTTGTGTAAAAAAACACATTAAGAGATACTAAGTGTTATAAAATCAAGGGTCTTGCCCTTGTAGGGTATTATAATTTCAGTCAGAAGCTTGGAACACGCCAAGAAGTTATTACCGATCCTATAAATTATATATATTCTTGATCAGCATCAACAACCAAATTATTTTAGCCATGTCCGGAAGAAAGAAATGTTTACCCTTTTTCAAAATTTTATAAATTATTAAAAAAAAAATAGAAAAAAATTAATTTTAAAATTAAAAATGTAATGTAATATTATAGATTTAATATTTTAAATATTTTTAAGAGCAACCTAGGGACAATAAGCGAGTTATTTCATATACATACCCTTTAAAATCGGTATATATTAATATTAAAAATAATGTTAAAAAATGTAATAAAACTTTTTAAAATTTAGTTCTTAAAAAAATATATTAATCAAACTATAAACAATAAACTTATTAATAATTAATAATTTTATTAAAATTATATTATTTGAAACGTAATTATAACACAAGTAACACAAAAATTAAAATAAAAAACTATGAAAAATTTCCAGTTAAAATTGCAAACTTTAAGGGTATATCTATATAACCAATAACATATATAACCTATATTTGTATATTTTCCCAAAGTTTTTTTTTCTGCTTGTTAAGCAATAAAGTTGCTCAACATTATCCTAGCAACATTAGTTGAGCAACATTTGCCTAGCAACATTTTCCAACATTGAACGATTTGGTTGCCCGGTTATTTAACTTTCAGTTATAATTCTGAATTTAAACAAGATTAATTTGAATTTTAAATAATTTATTTGATTTTGAGCTTATTAGTCCTTTCTGATTTTTTTTGTCCATAATTAAACCGAAAATTAAATGAATATTTTGATATAGATTTCCGCTTATTCCTGGAGTTTTGTTTTGTACTTGCGATAAAAGAAATAAAAAATAAGAAATAAAAAACAAACCGGATCGGCGACCTGGTCCGGTGGCACATCATCTTTCATGTCTGCCCGCACCGAACCGGATTCCATCGGCTGGTCTCGATAAATTAGGAGTCTGGCGGGGATTTATGGCTTATGGAAAGTGAAACCCTGAAATCTGGTTTCTAATTACCCGCCATCTTCTCTCTTCCAGGCTCTCCAAAGGCGACCGGCGCTGGCCATGATCCTGGCCTCCTGGCTGGTGGTGTCTACAGCGGCAGTTGGACCTGGAACAGGAGCTGGCAGACACCTGCTGCCCGCCCAGCCGGCGGATCACCTTGTGCCGCCACCACTGCCCGTGCCCCAGAGGTTGCAGCATGCGGGAGCCGGATCTCCAGCGGCTCCGCCCAGCTCTGCTCCGGTTGTGGTGCCGCCGGAACCAGGTCTGATGAATCGCTTTGCCAGGTGGCTGGGCCTGGGCGGCAGCAGCAGCAGTAGCGGCAGCCAGTCGAAGGACCAGCAGTCTGGGGCCAGCAACTCCCTAAGCTATGCCTACCCGAAGCCACACCAGGGCTTCGATGCGGGGGGCAAGCCCTGCAGCCTGTGCAACAAGTATCCCTGGGTGCCTATGGTGGGTCAGGGTCAGCAACAGCAGCAGCAGCAGCAGCAGCATGCCGCCTTGCAGGTGCAGCAGCAGCAACTGCAGCATCTGCCACAGCAGCATGCCGCCTGGCAACAGCCTCAGCAGCCACAGGCCCAGGCCTCGCAGCAGCGCCAGCGAGCGGTGCAGTTCCAACCCAGTGTACATTCCAATATCCTTAACAATCCCAATCCCGTCCAGGGTGTGTTCCTGCCGCTGGCGGTGCCCCTGCCGCCGCTGTACAATGCCCAGCCTTTTAGGCCCATGAATCCAACGCCTTTGAGGGAGAATGTAGTGGCCCAGTCGGAGGTGAGGCCAGTGCCCGTCTCCTTGCCTCATCCCCACAAGCAGCAGCAGCATCAGCAGCATCAGCAGCAGCAGCATCAGCAGCATCAGCAGCAGTCCAGCAGCAGCACCTCCAGCTTCGAGATTGTGCCCAGCCACCAGGTCACGGACTTTGTGACCTCCGTGGAGTACCCAGCCACCTTTGTCCAGTCGCATGCCATTGATCTGGGCCTTACAGGTCAGGGTCAGGAGCAGCAGGTGGTTCCAACCGAGCAGGACATCAGCACAGTGCGCTATCAGCTGGAGGATCTGAGCAGTGGCCAGGTGCATCAGCATCTGCCCGCCTCGCAGCTGCTAACTGAGCTGGGACACTTTGTGGAGACCACAACGCAGCTGCCGCCGGCGGACAACTATCCGGCGGCCTCGTCGCAGCAGCACCAGGAGCAAGAGCAGGAGCAGGAGCAGGATCACGAGCAGGAGCAGGCTCTCTACTATGCCGAACAGTTTCAGGAGGAGACCAGCACTCTTGTGTACAGCAGCACCACCACAGAGCTGCCCGTTAGCACCACCACAACAGAGGCGCCAAGGGCTCCGCCAGCGCCTGTCCTGGAGCTGAACAATCATCTGGCGGTAGGGCAGACCTACAGCCGGGGCAGGGAGACGCCCAAGCGGTTGCTGGACTCACCCATCAACCATATTGGCGGACGACCCTTCACCCGCGACCCCGCCGATCTGAGTTTCCGCCTAAGCCAGGTGTACACGCCCACGCAGCCGCCCACGCCCACCTCCACGTATGGAGCCATCGATGCCAGTGGCCAGTTTGCAGGCATGGCGCCGCCCAGACCCCAGCAGGTGATCATACCCTATACCACCAAGCAGCAGCCGCGTCCTTTTGAGAGCTGGCGGCCAAGCAAGCAGCTGGGTCACCAGGGTCACCAGGGACACCATCGGCAGCAGCCCAACGACCTGGAAGAGGAGCCGCACGAGCAGCAAGAGTCCAAACTGGCCACCGCCACGGTGACGGCGCCTCCATTTGCGCCCAACTCCAGCCGCACCACCACATACCTCACCAAAATCCTGGCCAGCAATCTGCGGGAGTTGCTCAAGCGGGAAAGGGCCACCCGGCGGCCGCCCAATCACATCATCTCCGGTGTGGACATCTCCCAGCTGCAGCACAACATCGACGGCTGGACGGAGCAGGAGTACAACTCGTTGTCTCATCGCCCCAGCACGCCCACCATCCGAGGGAGGTCCAAGCACATACCTTCGGAGTATCTGACCACCACGACGACCACCACGCCGGCGCCGAGTTTGGCGTTCCAGAGCCGCCAATCGAAGACCACGCGCGGCGAGGGTTTCGAGCTGGGCGCGGCTGCTCCGCCCACAGATGCCGGTGACCTGTCCACCTCCATCAATAACCTGGAGCATCTGCATCTGCTGGGCGAGCGGGGATCGAAGCGCTTTCAGCCCATCGAGGACAATCGTCTGCCCTTAGATTACTATGATGCTCAACAGCGGCCGCGTTCTACGCCGGCTATGACCAGTCCAAGCCCGAGTCCGAGACCCAGCACCACAACCACCACAACAACGGAGGTGACGCCACTCTATGTGCGCAGCACTCCGGCACCCAAGGAGCCCTGGAATCCCGCCCAGGTGGCCATTCTGCCGCAGACCAACGAGAAGGTCTATGTGGTGACACCTCAGCCCAGGCACCAGTATCATCACCATCACCAAGTGGCGGAGGATCATCACGAGGAATCCGCCTCGGCGCCTAGGCCTGTTTACCAGACGCCAGCGCCTCGGTTTCCACGGATGCGACCCACACCAGGCAAGCAGGGGGGAGGTTCTTAGGAGAAGAAAGAGTTCGCATAACATTTTTTATACATATTTTATATATTTATCCTCCTCACTTAGCTGGCGAAGTGAAGGGAGCAACGCCCACCAGCTCCTCACAGCTGCGCAACTATACGCCGGACATTTTCGGCTTGATGGGACTGTCCGCCTATGTGCCCGGGGAGCCAGTGGAAATAATCGATGGAAATTCCAAAGTAAATGGCGACCTATTTTAGTTCACTTAGATATGTAATCGAGCTCCCTTTGTTTTTGTCTCCAACGCACACTGTACTTCTCATTGCAACGCACTTGAATCCTCACTGTAATACCTAATGTTACACCTTACACCACAATTTACACCACACTTTACACCACTTTTTGCACCATGCTTTACACCATGCCTTAAATTGTGCTTGACATATTTTAAAAAACTCATTATATATACTTCACCAACCCATAATGATCTTTACATTCTACACTACACTCTACACAACAACTTCAACCACTTCTTACACCACACTTTACACCACAATGTGTACAACATTTATCTTCCAAACTCTACAACAAAACTCACTTAACATCACAAATAACACCCTTTTATACAATTTACACCACACCTTACACCACCAAACCTCAATTAACCCAACATCTTATCACCTTTTGATACGCTTTACGCCACACCTTACACCACATTTTACACCACACTTTACACCACCATCCCCCCAAACTCACCACACATCGCAGGTCCACACGATCGTGACGGCAGCGCCAACGGCAGCTGCCCTCCAGCGACCAACAGCGAAGCCCACAATGTCGCCCTCGCCGAGATAGAGGCCACTAGAGGTCACGAGAGGTTACGTTGTAACCATCCCCCGCCTGTTGTAATATAATTTCCCCCCCTCACAACCTCCAGCTACATGAGCCCTAGAGTAATATGTATATGTTTGTAGAGAGAGAGCAGAGTCCTCGAAAGAGTTATACTTTAAGAGATACCCGAATCAGAGTTAGAGTATTCTTGCATTTGGTAGCTTTATAAACACATAGAAAAGGACGAGGACAAGGATCGAGGAGGAGGAACCGATCCGAAAGATGACCAAAGGAGTGGAAATTCCCATAGTTTATATTGGCGCAACGACTCTGTGTGTTTCTAACTATCTTTTTTTTTTTTTGTTTGTTTAGAACTTTCTGTGTTTCATATTTGTGGCTAACCCTCTCCTTGCTAGCTGTAATTTTAATTAATGTAAAATATATATATATAAATATATATATATATTAATATCTACATTTTTATAAAGCGAATTTTATAAGCAATGTAAGTGAACAAAATAAAATATAGCAAAAACGAACAACAAAAGAACAACAACAAAGTCATTTAAATGTATCCTACTTTGTAAGTACGATTGAATACCAATAAATATCCTCGGATTTTGAATAAATTATATAGAAAAATGGCCTGAAAATATATGTTTTTCACTTGTAGTTGGGAAATGCTGAAACTTAAGGTGGGAAAATATACATTTAAGCCAAAAAGTACAAAAAAGGCTTTGCCCCCGAATATTAACTCAGCCCAAAAGCAGACTTTAAAAAATCGAAATATATTTTAATTTAAAATTTGTAAAAGACTTTAATTTTGTATATATAAAACACTTTATATATTACTTTACATACAAAAAAAAAGCTTCCTTATAACTAAGACAAAAAAATAAAAAATTCTTTGTTTCTTAACTACAATGATGTCTTTGAGTTGAATGCTTAAGCTAACGCCTTCGGATGATCATCTGTCCACCAGTCGCTGCTTGCGCCGATGCCGTCGGATGAGGGCCTCCAGAGCCCAGGAGCCAGCCGCCACAAAGGACATGGTATTGAGGCAGTGCAAGGCCACCGAGTAGTCAAAGCGATCGCGCACCAGGCCTGCAAAAAGGATCATTATATATATAATATATATCGTAAAAATATGTTATTAAAACTCACCCACAAAGGGACCCCCAATCAGGGTGAACAGACCGGAGATGAGCAGCTGCAGGCCAGAGGCAGCGGGCAGGCGGTTTAGCGGCACATATCCCGGAATGATCAGGGGCCAGAATATAGTGCGTATGCCCTTGCACAGACCAATCCACACAAAGCTGCCCAGGATGAGGTGATAGGAGCGCGTGCAGGCCACCACTGTGCGACCCAGGGCAATGCCCACCACTCCAATCAGAAAGAACACCCGATTATCCCACGGAATCTTTTCAGTGAGAAAGGGGACCAGGAAGCGCATGAGCAAATCAAAGCCGGCGCACAGGGACATGGCCAGCGTGGTCTGGGCCGTATCAAAGCCAAAGTCGGCCAGGATAAAGGGCACCAAAATGGAAAAGTTCAGCTCCCCAAAATTGATGAACGTCAGGCCGGTGACGAGGTTCACAAAGGTAAAGTCACGCAGCAGATCCAGATCGAAGAAGGTCACCACTTTGGCCAGAAAGGACATGCGAGAGGGATCTTGATCCACAGTCCCTTCTGCTGCAGCCTCTGCCTCCTGGGACTTCTCTAAGCCATTGTTGTTCTCCTGACAGCGACAGCAAATGGTGGACTCCACCCGTTCGCGCCGGAAGTTATTGGGTCGCAGGAACTCCTCCGATGCCTCCTCCTCGCTAATAGGACAGTGCAGGCGCTGGGTCTGCTCCAAATCCTTGGAGCTCGAGATGGTGCGAAAGCGCAACCGACCCGAGGTCAGGGATAGCTTGGAGCCAAACCATCCGTCGTTGGCCCGCGAGAGCATGGGAGTGCCGGGCTCACAGATCTCGTAGCCGGGCCGCTGGACATCATCCTCCTGGCAGAGATACTGGCTGGAGAAGATGCCGCCCGGTTCGCGTTTCTGCTGCCAGGCCTGGCAGTGGGCGCACAGTGGTGCCGCCACCCCAGCCTCCGGCAACTCCGGATCAACCGAGTCCTCCCTTTGAGGAGGATGTGGCTTCACATGATAACGCACGGGCTGGTAGATAAGAGCGCAGACAAAGGCATGCAGTGAGATGGCAGCAAAGAGCAGAGTGGTGCCCTGGACACCGTAAATGGTCAGCATGAAGGTGACCAGGTGGGGCAGGAAGATGGGCCCCAGACCCGTGATGGTCCAGGAGAAGCCCGCAGCACGGCGACGCTTCTGCTGGAAGTAAGTGTTGATGGCCAGCGAGGAGGCCGACACGCTGATGCCCATGCCAAAGCCTAAGGGGAGAGAGAGATAGATTTTAATAAGGATGTTGAGGGATCATTAGGGATCATGAGGGATCTTTAAAGATTTTTAAGGATCTTTGAAGACCTCAAGGCAAATTCCTTACCAAACAGCAGGGCATAGGCCACCATGTAGCCCAAAAAAGTCTCACAAAAGGCGGTCAGCATGATCCCGCCGGAGATGAGCAGTGCTCCGGCCATGGCCACCTGCCGAAAGGTAAATCTTCTGAACATGGGTCCATTCAACAGACCCGTGCAGGCCGATATGGCTGGATTTGTATTGATAATGGCCGTGATTTGAGAGCTGGACATACCAAGGCTGCCCAGCCGATCCTTGAACAGGAAGCCGAACTGCTGCAGGCAGGGATAAATGGATAGCTGTGGGAAAAGGAAACTTAATATAATTTATAAAAATTATAATTATTTACTTAATTTCCTCTTAAAAAGCGGAATATATAATATAATTTTTATAATTTTTATAATTTTCATAATTTTTATAATTTTTATAATTTTTATAATTTTTATAATTTTTATAATTTTTATAATTTTTATAATTTTTATAATTTTTATAATTTTTATAATTTTTATAATTTTTATAATTTTTATAATTTTTATAATTTTTATAATTTTTATAATTTTTATAATTTTTATAATTTTTATAATTTTTATAATTTTTATAATTTTTATAATTTTTATAATTTTTATAATTTTTATAATTTTTATAATTTTTATAATTTTTATAATTTTTATAATTTTTATAATTTTTATAATTTTTATAATTTTTATAATTTTTATAATTTTTATAATTTTTATAATTTTTATAATTTTTATAATTTTTATAATTTTTATAATTTTTATAATTTTTATAATTTTTATAATTTTTATAATTTTCATAATTTTTATAATTTATATAATTTATTCAGTTTTTTAATTTTCCCATTAAACTTACATTCGAAACGCCAGCGGCCACGCACACCACCCAGGCCCAACCGCCATCGGGCGCCACAAAGTCATCCCCCAGATCACTCTTGTCCTGCTTGTTGTAGTATCTAGTCCTGGGCAGCGGCCTGGTGGTATCCTGGTACACCTTCTTCTCCATAGCGTCTGTCTGAAAGACAAGCGAGTAATAGGAGAAACGGCCATTGAAAAAATTGAAAAAATTCCATTACTTTTTCCGGGCTCATAAGTGATTTACGAGGCCTGATCGTTGGCAATTACTGGAGGCAATACGTTAACGATCACTTGTCACAATTAACTGCACGGACTCGGGGAGAGAAATGCCTCCAGCATGCACTCCCTGCCATCCCTCCCATTATTTTATTTGTTGCCATCGCCAGAGCCGGGTTCATGGCTGGCAACCAAGAAATTTTCGAAATTTCTTAAATCTCTGGATCTCTTTAGTCACCTGAAGCCAGCGCTCTTATCAGCAGCGGCGGCGTCATGTGACCGCCAGAGATTCTGGGACTGAGACACTTGCGCACCCATAGAGACATGGGACAAAAGTTAGCGCGCAAAAATGTTGGCGAGTGAATCACGCCCGACATCCTCTACATATAGCCTAAGTTCCGGATAGTAAAAGCCCCGCCCAAGGTTAGCTGCTAGAACTTATCAGTAGTTTATGCTTTCAAATATATAATATATATACTACAAGAGATGGAGAGAGAGATAGATTCCAGCTGATCATGATCCATAAGGGAATAATCCACTGGGAATTGAGTGCATTCGACGGATAAAGAGGCTTGGAAAGTGATTTTAATTAATTTACTTAATTTAAATTAATTATAATCAGGCTTTTTTTGGGCTTAATCTCATGATACAAAAATACGAAACCGATGTTTCCCTGAAAAAAACTCCAACCAAAAAAGTAGCAGACTCTTTCATAGTTTTCCCACCTATTGATATGATTCTTTTCTAAATCAGATAACGGAATCGAACTGATAGCTGATAGCTAAGGGGCCTAACAACACGCAATGCGATTGATAAAGCTCTTGGGAAAACAAACAAAACAACAAATCTGGAGAGAGAGCCATAATTAATGGCTGAGAACTCTCAGGCTGTGTAACATTTTTGCTTAAAAATTTCACTAGAAATCAATTTAAATTAATTTTGGGCAAATATATAAATTTATATATATTATTTTTTTGATTTCTTAAAGTAATTTCCTGTGTAATCTTATTAATTGGAAGCTTGACCAGTACACATAGTAATATTGAGCTTCCACACGTTTTTGCCAAACAATGTAATGCTTAGTTGAGAACAAGGCATATTTGTAGACTAATAAGAATAAGTACTATATATATATACAAAATATATAAAATTATTATGAGGCACAGCTGCTGCTCTGGTAATATATTTGTTATGACTTTTGCACGTCGCAAACTCATTTGGTTAAGTTTTGCTACAAAAAAATATATGTTGTTATTCCCTCAAATCGATGGCCAACTAATTGACACTCTGCACTAGATACTAATAATCGAGATAAGCAAAGCTCATTGACTGCGAATCTCTTGATAAGAATGATAAGATTGCGTGGTGGTTACATGGACATGGGTTTGTTTCTACTCTAAATATATAGCAAGTTATGCTACAGCCAGTTTATTGGCAGTTTCCCGCCTTAAACACACTGAAAAAAATAAAAAATACTACATAAATTTAAGACAAAAACTTCACTTTAGAAGATTTAAGAGAAAACTGGAAAAAGTATCTAGCAGATACATAAAGATCTTGACTTATGGGTATTTATTAGTTGACTTATTATTATTAATCTCTCCCAGTGACTACCGGAAATCTTATTGGAATGCCAGGTGAAACACCTGCCAGGTGCGTGCTGGGAACGTGTCCCTAGCCCTAGAACTCACCTCTGTCCCCTACTCGGACTCCCTATAGTATCTCCTTTGGCAAGTGCACAAATTGGCGACACACCGAGCACTTCCTGCGCTAGCAGCTTATAGTTTTTATTTTTATTTTTAGTTGATTTGTTTTTATTTTATTTTGTTTTTGTTTTCATTTATTTTTACACACTCGGTCGGCAGCGAATTGCACTCACTCGGCGGCGTTGGTCTGCATCTAATTGAAGAATCAAAAAAAAAAAAAAAAAAAAAAGCTAATATGTGCGGAGCAAGTTCAAGGTTGATACGCGATTGATCACTGTTCTGAGATGCTCGGTTTTCCGGATTCTCCAGGCGCCACACCTACTCCTCCTCCGCCAATCCCAAAACTATTAACATTTTCCGCCACTAACTGAACCGATTTCGAACACGATTCGGTAGCCGCCTCTGAGTCCGAGTCCGAGTCCGAGCGAAGCTGAAAAGCTATAGCGCCGATGGGAAGATCGGATCGACTAATGCCAATCGATCGGCGCCTACCTCTACGTAATAGCAGTGTTGCTCGCTGTTAGCTAACAGAGCTCTGTATCTGTAGATGTATCTGTACCTGCTGCTGTATCCGTATCTGTAGGCTGTGCCAAAAAAGATCGTTTCGAGATCTAGCTGCTTCTCGCTCTTCCTTCCTCTCTTCTGTGGCAATAGTTTCCTCTATTGACGAAATTGTTAAAATAAAAATATATGTAATAAAACAAAAACTATTTGTATTGTTTTTGTCTTGGCCTCCAAACTTTAAATTCGCATTTCGCCAGGCGAATTAAAGTGTGCCTCCTAATTTGCGGATTTACGTTGGCCAACCTACAAAGCCCAAAAGTTTGCTACCAAAAATTTCAAAACATTTTTGGTTAATAATATAAAAATTTTTTTAACTTCTAGCTGTAAACAAATTAAAAGTATTCATAATTTTACAAAACCTAAAACTTGGATGGCCTTCAAATGCAATTACAACACTTTATTAGACATTTGTATATAATTATATTTATATATATATATAAAAACTAAGCGTTTTTTTATATAAATATATTTTCTTAAATCAATGTTTACTTTTAAAATAATTTTCTTAATCTACAAAAAAAAAAATGAACTTACGAAATTAACATTTTCTGCACATTTTTCTCCTGGTCTTTACTTTTAATTTCTGTTTTTGAATAATATTACTAATTTTCATGGGTTTGATCGGCACTTTTGAGATACTTAAAAGTATCTTAAAGTTTGAATTTTAAGGAAATATTAATCACAAGAAAAAAGCCAAGCCTTTAAAAGGAAACAAGTTAGTTTTACGCAACTTTCATACAGTTCGAGATTAAGTTTAATCTTTAAGTACTGGCTTTACGTTCCATAACAGACTTTTGACTTGAACCTGACTTTAAATTATTTATTTCTGAAAATAACTCCCCCATTGATGTACAGACACGCACACAGTTTTTTTTCTAGCTAAAATACATTTCTAAATTTATCACTAAGCACATACCGTAGTATCTAGTATCAAGAGTATCAATTAGACGCGCATTAAGTTAGGCTATCCTACAAGCTAGTTAAGAGTTAGGTTCTTAGGTATCTTTACTAAGTATCCTCGAGTAATACTATGCACACAAGTTGTAGTTCACAGAGGGAAGACTTCTACTGACCCAGGCCCTTGGAGGGTCGACCCAGAATGCCACGCACCACGGACTCCGTAAGCCAGAGGAGCAGGGCCAGGCAGGTCAGAGCATTGATGGTGTGGATGGTGGCTGCATAGCCAAAGGCCTCCGTCAGGATGCCTAGAAAAAAAATATATATATTTAAATTATAAATAATTAATAAACAACAACAAATGGGGAAACTCACCCAGAATGGGACCCATGGCAAAGGAGAACATAGTATTGAAGATCAACTGGAGGCCCGAGGCGGCCGGCAAGCGATTCAGCGGCACATAGCTGGGTATGATCAGCGGCGAGAAGATGGTCCGGAAGCCCTTGCCAAAGCCAATTAGCAGAAACACCCCAATCATGACCTCGTACGAGCTGGTAAACGACACCACCACGCGACCCACGGCAATGCAGAGGATGCCAAAGGCAAACAGCACCCGGTTGTCCAGCTTCACCTTCTCCAGGGCCAGTGGCGCCAGGAAACGCACCGAGATGTCCATGCAGGCCAGTAGGGACATCACCAGCGAGATCTGTTTATCCGTATATCCGAAGCTATTCAGGATGAACGGCGTCAGCACCGAGAAGTTCATCTCCCCGAACATCATGATGCTCATGCCCACCGCCAGATTGACGAAGGTGAAGTCCCTGAGCAGGTCCAAATCAAAGAACTTGCTCACCTTCTGAAAGAAGGTCATGCGTCGCTTGGCCTCCTCCTCCTCCTGAGCCACCACGTCAGTATCGTGGTCGCTCATCTGCTCCAGCTGCAGCGCCTCGGCGGTCTTCTGCAGCAGCGCCTTGTCCTCGGCACAGGTGCAGCGCAGAAGCTCCTCCTGGCCGGGACGCGAATAGACGCTCGTTTTGCTGGCATACCGATCCATGTCCTCGCGTTCCCGATTAAAGTAGTTCGGCTTGTAGAGGGGCGCCCCGGCGGAGCTCTGATCCTGATGCTGCTCCTGGTCTCGCGGTGCCTCCAAGCGATCCAGGTTCTCGCGACTCCTGGACGAGACCTGACGCATCAGTGCCTGTCGCGTCCGGTAGCGAGCTCCGCCGGCATGCTCCGAGGTCAGGGATAGCTTGGAGCCAAACCAACCGTCATTGGCCCGGGCCAACATCGGAGTTCCAGGCTCGGTGATTTCGTAACCCGGACGCTCGGGGTCGTCCACATTGAAGAGGTACTGCGAGGAGAAGATGCCGCGCTTGCCACGCTTCTGGTACTGACAATACTTGCACTCGTAATCCTTCCACGGGTCATTGGCGGGTGCCAGCAGGTTGCCATTGGCCTCCATCAGCTGCTCCGGCTGATCCTTGTCTGACTCTACGCCCTCCACGGGTGCCGCCTGAAGGGCGGGCTTCTCGGGCTTCTTTACATGCCACAGCACCGGCTGCAGGGTGAGGGCACAGAGCACGGCGTTCATGGCAATGCCGGCGTAAATCAATATGCTGCCCTGGGCGCCATAGTAGTCCAGCAGGAAGGTGGATACCTGGGGAAAGAAGATCGGTCCCAGTCCCGTGATTGTCCACGAAAAGCCGGTGGCCCGACGCCGGCGTAATTTGAAGTATGTGTTCACGGCCAGCGAGGTGGCCGCCATGGACAAGCCCAGGCCAATGCCATAGATGGCCGATAGGCAGATGATGTACTGCCAAAAGTTGGTGCAGAAGGCCGACAGGAAGATGCCCATAAAGGCCAGTGTGGTGCCGGTCAGGGCCACCTGGCGGAAGGTGAAACGCCGGAACATGGCTCCGTTGACAATGCCTGGCGGGATTGGTAGTATAGAATCGAATAATATATGGAAACTAAAGGAAACACTTACCTACTAGCGAGGAAATGGCCATCACCACATTGACAATGGTCGTGGTCTGCTTGGCATCGAAGCCCAGGGAGTGCATACGCACGCGGTAGATGAGACCATACTGTTGCAGAGCCGGGAATAGGAAGAACTGTAATTGGAGAGATTGGAGATGGTTTGGAAATGGGTTTGGAATTGATCGTGTTCGGAGTCGATTCTATATATTTAGAGGGATAATAAAGATGTGACAGGGAATACATCCTTAACTATCCTTTAATTTGATGTCCCAATTAAGCTCCTTAACTCACATTATTCAATCCAGCTGCCAGGCACACCACCCAGCCCCATCCTCCATCGGGCGCCACAAAATCCGGACCCAAATCGCTCTTGTCGCGCCTCTTTGGCTTTTTGGGTTTTGTGGTGTCATTGTACACATGGATGCGATTCTTCTCCGTTAGGTTGGACTTTTCCATGGTAAAGGGATGTGATTCTAAAAAAAGAAAATGTTGAATTAATAAAATAATTTATTTTTTCACTCTAAAGCAGGCTTAATAATTGGAAACCCTGATTTAATTCAATACAAAATAAAAAAAAATGTTTAAATAGAATTCATAATAAAAATCGAAACCCATATATCTTAGAATTTGATATAAAAAATACTATTTACCAAACTACAATCTATTTCTAAAAACAAACCCTTACATATCTTCCCAGAATTCCCCAGAGGGTTTCATTAGCTTCCATGTGCTAATCTGCAAATCAATCGAACTGAAAGTGTGAAAATCTTCACATTTCTCCTGGGAACCCTCTAAGCCCAAACATACTATATCGGATCTATCAAAAGGCTTTACAAATGAGAACCACTTAAGACAACATATCTCAATTGCTACAAAATTATCAGGTATGGGAAGAGGGCTGTTATTAGATACCTGCCCGACTCCTACTCCTCCTCCTCCTCCTCCTCCTCCTCCTCTCCTATTACCATTCCTATCTGCAGTTTATCGATGACACACCTTTAATAACTCTTCGCGGAAAGAGACGAGTGGGGGCGGAGGTGAAGATAATGCTCTAATTGCTAATTGGGATTGAGGCGGCATTGTGAAAATGTGGCTATAGATAGCTGCACCGAAAGAAAATCTTAAAGATACAAGCAATAATAAAAATAAAGATAAAGTATCTTTTGGGTTTAATATAGAAAAACAAATCAAATAGCCATTAATTCAGAATAAATTAGTGATTAAATAAGATATTTAAAACACTAACTATAAGCCCACAATAATATTAAACAACAAAATAAAATATAAATATAAATAAAATAAAAAACAGATAAAATATCTTTTGGGTTTAACAAATTAAATTTTTATAAATTTTGAGTAAATTGGTGATTAAATAAAATACTTAAAACACCAAATAATCTGTTAAATATAATTATAAATAAAATAAAAAAAGATAAAGTATCTTTTGGGTTTAATATAGAAATTCAAATCAACCATCTATTATTTCAGAATAAATCAGTGCTTAAATGACATATATAAACACACAAAATAATCTATTAAACCCACAAAAATATGAAATATTAATCCATATATTAAATTTCAATCATATATCTTTAAAATACAAATTTCTTTGCGTGCATATAGTTGGATAGCATGCGGTGTCATTATGACAATCATCGACATTTATGGGCCGGATAGGGTCTATCGACTTGGCTCTATCATAGATATAACAATTTTGTATATTTTCTATTTTTCGATACGGCCTAATGGGTGCGACAAAGATTGGTATGCAAAGCACACGGTGTCTCCCGATGCCGATCGAGCGATCTGGAATGGAAATCACTTAGAAAGGAGCATGGTAGTGGAAGCCGCCAGACCGGACCGTCTCCTCCGTTCTGGCGATAATCAAGAGACAAGTTGTAAATGCAAAAAGAAAAAAGAAAAAAGAAATAGTAATAATAAAAATAAAAGCACCATGGCAACATGGCTTATTTATGCATCGATAATGCGAGGACAGAGCCGGTGCAGCCGTCAGAGATCCGGATCGGATCGTCATGGAATAGGATGTCTTCATTCAGACATTCCACCAGAGCCCGACGAGAGATCCATTTGCCATTGAACTTCATCGAAGCGTGCCGCAAATTGACGCCACCCGCCGTCGCAGCCAGTCTGGAGCTGAGTTTGGGTTCGGCTTCAGCGGGATCGGTGTAAAACGGGTTCCCCCCAATGGCACTTAACAGTCTCACAACTCCAAATGCAATTTATCAACTAAGAGAAGAAAAAAAAAAAACTGAGAGGCAGGGCACAGTTTTGATTCTAGCAAAGTCGCACTTGACAATACACTTTTTAGTTTTGTTTCAAAAAAAAGTTTTTTTTTAATTAAAACGAAAAAAGAATCGCTTAAATTCGCAGCTTTCATTGTCCTTTCATTATGCCAGAAATTAAACAGAAAATCCTTGATATATGAGTGATAAAATAACACCTGCCTGCATCTCTGCTATTAAACAGGTCATTCAATCTGCGCTTTGACATTTAATTAACGTTTGAAATGTAATTACACAATGGCCATATAATTTTGTGTACTTATCGGACGGTGAAGCCCCCCGCATACAACTGAAATATGATATCTCCTATCCAATATGCAAGCAAAAATGAAAAAATTCATGGTAAAATTGCAACATAATTTCCATATAAAGTCGAGACCCCCACAAGAAACCCAATACAGAAGTCCAATTATGAGTGAGTTTTTGTGTGGTAAGGTGGCAGCTTTTTTTGTAATTAAAGAGCGTAAAAATCCAGATAGGGTTTCGTTTAAATATTCTGGACTTTAATTTATTAAGAATATTTATTAATATTATTTATATAACAAAAATGTTCAAGCTTCACACTGATAAGCACTGATTACAGGCGCAGTGCAGGCCTACCCTGAATAGAATTATTGTGGCATATACTAGTGTATATAATAAGTAGCTAATTCACTGACATGACATGCATGTCTAATCGATAATGCCCGCTCATGTCGAGAGAGTATTTAAGGCGAAACTTTCGCTGAGAGTCGGGGCGGAATATCGAGCGTGATCTCCCGCCATATGTATGTATATTCCGGTTTCATCGGAGACACTCTGAGAACCAAGTGGAGCTCTCGCTCTTGCCGCAATTTGTCGCCGATGCTGCCTTTTTTCCCTATAATAACTACTATATTGTATTGTATTTTGCGCAGTCATGCCGCGTGGGCAACAATTTCGTGTATGAAAACAAACACTCATGCTTAGAGAGACGACGGCGAGATAAAGTCGAGAAGTGTTGGGTTCCCTCTTCAGTTTAAATTGATTTCATTTCGGAATTTCACAACATTCCGGAATCATGCTTAGATATATATATTTTTTATATAGTATTGCTAGTAATGCTGACATAGTGGTGATCCTATTTTCCTACTTCTACCATAAATTTGCATTATATATTCTGGCCCAAGACCAAGACCAAGTCAATAAACAAAGGGATTTCGGTGGGCTTATTGCCCCCGGAGTGGGTTTATCTTAACGCCGATAAGGTCGGTGCCTGAATGAACAAAAAAAAAAAGAAAGGAAATAATAATAATAATAAGGGAAGACAGACGAGTGTTGGCCCAGACAAAGGCGCTGGTACAATATAACCCAGAAGGATTGGCAAATACTTTTCGCATTGCTCAGATAAGAATCAATCTGTGTTCCTGAAAACACGTGCTGTGGTCGAAATAAATCTCCACAAACTCAAATATTTATTAAAAACAATGACATATTTTATATTATATTTTTTTTTAAGGTTTATTTGTTTCCATTTCATAGAAAATATTTTTGCAAGTTCATAACTCCTCCATATTTTTTGTTAGAAATGCAAACATTATGTGAGTTTTTCCCTCATTTTGGCCTTATCGCCCTCGAGTGGCAATTAGGCGGGGCCCAGAGATGACTCAGTGGGGCAGCGGTAGATAACACAGATAGGGCTCCGATGGCGGCACTATTGATTAGGTTCTTCGATCGCCGGTCGGACGGGGCTATCTCCGGTCGGGCCCAAAGCGGAGCCAGAAGACAAATAGTAAAAACACTTGTATACCCTCAAGTTCACTACGAGCACACACACACACACTCGTTTCTCGAATGCTGTGTGTATGTTGTGTGTAAAACAGGTGCAGCTAATGGGCGAACAAGTATCGGACAAGCATCGAACAAGCAGCCCATTGATACACTCGACAAAAAATCAATGTTAATGGTTACTAAAAATTTGTTAAATAATTTTGTTTTGCATAAAAATTAAGCCAAAGTCAATTTTAATCTGAAAATAATTTATTTTCTTATTAAAAATTAAGTCCAAAGGCTCACTAAGGTTCTCTGTCGCACTTATCATTATTATTTCACTAGAATTCCCAACTTGGTCTAGCTGCAAATTATATATGTTAATATATCGAAAGCTAAATTCCGATAAAAATATATAGAAAAAATATGTAATAGAATATATATAAGAATATCTAAATTATCACAAACTTTGATATATCGAATTTTTAAATATTACAAAAAAAATGTTGGTTAAGTTCACGATTTTATAGAAAAAAATCAAAATTATTAAAAAAATCAAGTTTATTATTAAATATTGAATCATTTTTTTAATTTAATTAATTTTGTCTCCTTTTTAAATTATATTCTGATATATCAAACAGAACACGCACATCAATATATCGACTTTTGAGTCAAATATCGATACAAATAATTTCTTGTACTATCCCTAGATCGCTCACAACCCCTATACGAAGTTTTAATAATAGAAAAATAACCAAAACTTAAGCATTATTTAATTTTAATTCAAAGACACTTTTCCTCCAAGTGTTTCCCACACGCAACGGAAGTTTTCTCCAGCATTTTCGCTCAGTCAATTGGCCTCTAATTGAGATTAATCGGCCGGTCTGACTGCCTGCCTGCTTTGTGTGTAATAAACGGAATCGAATTGTATATACACAACATGGAGACATGGAGCGTATAGTGCTCATTCAGTGGTAAATGGGTCTACGCCAGGCGACAACCAATTGTCGCTCCGATCGTTGTTATATTTCCCAAAGCCAGCGCCTTCAATTAAATTGTGTCAATGGGAATTGATTAGCGGGAACAGATATGCGAGTAATTGATTCGCAGCTAATGAAAACCGAGAGAGACAGAGAGCGAAAGAGTGCCAAACGCCCCAGCTGATCAAACACAAGTCTTTATATATAAATATAGCTTAACTTTTAGCGGATCGCTTAAATTGTCGGCTAGCACATTGCTCTCTTTCTATCTGGGGAAAAGGAAAATAGAAAAGACTATCTAGGGAGGCTCTTGAACGGAAACTCTTTGTCAGTCAAGGCAATCATAAATAAGATCAATAATCACCCAATCATATCTTCCCTCTAGGCTTCATGCTTTCAAAATATATATCATCGATCCGATGCTAAGAAACTCTTTCTGAAAGGGATATTTCTTTGATCTGAAAAAATGATATGCATATACATAGCTTCTAATTTTCTTTCTTTCTATTTTCCAAAATAATTTATGGTTTTAAGATTTAGGAACAACTCAGAATATTTTAATTAAATTTATTTATTTATTTATGATTAATTATATAAAACTTTAAGCTGACTTTCTTAAATTTTTGCCAGTTTTCTTGAAGCGATTGTTATAACTATTTATTAATGATCATCTTAGTTTGCATTTTGGGGGAGTTCTCGGGAATATATTAGTATTAGTAATATAATTATAATAATATTCCTAAAAAATATATGAATAATAATAAGAAAGTAAATAAAACCGGTCTAGAACTAAGCAAGTTTTGCATTGTATGAGAACATTAAAAATATCACCCTTTGGATCCTATTGTAAAATCCCAATAAAAGTCCAAACTTAACGAATGTTTAACTATAACCCATTACCAAATGTTAGTTAACAAATTAATAAATATTTATTAATAATATATTATAAAAAACTAGAAACGTTAACAGACTCAAAAAAGGGAAAAGATAACATAGTTAAACAGTAAGAGTTTTAAAGTCTGAATTTTAGATAGAATTTAGAGCCTACCTAATCGGTTTTTCTCTAGATCTGGACTGTGGCTAGCTTTGCAATTCTTAAAATATTCCTTTTTTTAGGCTGTGTTCTCTCTGGGTCTGTTGTGATGCATTGTGGCGCGTTGGAGTTGTGGTGGCAGCGTCATGCTCGGCTTCAATAGACGACTACAAATGGCTATTTATACTCCAGTGGGCCTGGACAAAGTTATCATTCATGTGCCGGCTGGCTGGCAGCACTCAATTGCATCCGAGATTATGAGCAACGTGTTCGGGACTTGCTATTTTTAGGAGCGTTTTCGAGTGATTGTTATTGCCCTCGTACATAGCAGCTCGCAGCTCTCGGCAGGCCACAAAATAATCCCAACACCCGGCGCATTCTCACATGTGTTGTGTGTGATTCGGAGTGGAAATGGGACTGCAAATGGGAATGGGAATGGGATTGGGTATGCCAATGGCAATGGGAATGGTAAGGAAAAAGGTAAGGGTATGGGGGGGTATGGAAATGGGAATGTCAATCTCTGGGCCCAATCCCTTGCACCCGGGTCCCTTGTCTATGCAAAGCATTTAATGCGCATTTCAGGCCCATTCCTAGGCACTTCTTTTATTCCAACACTATTGCTTTGTTTTATTTAATTTTGTTGTTGTGTTTTTTTTTTTTAGAGTCTCTGGTCCGGTTTAACCGAATAACCTCACGTACTTCAAGCCGACTCCCAAGTGCCTTGCCGTAAAGTGCAAGGGAATGCAAGTGAAATTCAACACCAATCCCAGAAATGCACTTGGTTTTTTGGTTTTCGGTTCTTGGTTTTTGATTCTTGGTTCTGAGAGTTTCTGTTTCTGGTTCCAATTCCAATCCCAAAATGCTAATTCCACTTGGGTGAGCTGTCAAACAAGACGGCTGTCTGACACACGATATATACGGGGGAGGGAGTGAAAGAAAGTCCCTTCTCAGATCAAAACTAAGACCTACGAAGTCCAAAACAAAACGTTTCAAGACTCATTACAGTAAATAAATCTTGTAAATACTTGGATATTATCGGAAGAACGCCTAATTTATTAAAAAAAAAAAATCTTTTAAAGCTGTGTCACATCCCCAATTTCTGGCTTATATATTCCCACAATTAATATTAAGACTTTTTTAAGATAAGTTTCTATCCAAAAACTCTCTCCTTTTAACTGTAACTGTAACTGTATATTGGCAAGAGGGTACTAATGAGGTTTCTAAGTAGAATCTTCTGAAAATAATACCAAAACTGTAGCTCTAACCTTATAATGAAGAAGAGATCTTATAGAAACTAGATTTTATATTAAAATTACTCTTAGGTTCTCTTGTTTAGTATAAGTCACAGGTTTCGTAATTAACTAAAACCATTTACTGTTTTGCTCAGTGTATCCCTAAGATGCAAACAAATACAGGCCAAAAACAATAGAACCTTCAATTGTTCAATGAATTAGTTTGACTATCTTCAACTCTGCCATATCAGACTCTGTCTGGAGGAGGTCTTATCACCTCCTCATGATTCTCAAATTCTCGATTCTAACACATCGATTGCATAATCCGCTTGAGGGTATTCCATTATACGATAATTACAGCCAGAAAACACATAAGCAGCTTATATCAATTGAAAGTCAAACTAAATGCGAAATCTGTCAGCGATTTTAAAGCCCTGCCGAACCCAAACTGACACATGAGCTCTTTGTTGGCTCTTGCAACTGCAACAGGTTATCCCGTAGGGCAGTTAAATGAGGAAAATCACCATATATGCATGTTGTGGAAATTTGAAAAGCTCTCGACAGGCGCGGAACCTTGACAACCAACCAGAAAACAGACAAAACCGGCAGCATCCCCCAGGAACCAGCGTCAAGGGGTTTCTCCTGCTCCTAAACGGATATTGGTTGGCGTGTTTCTATAAACATAAATACAAGCTATGCCATGCCAAAGGGGGTTTAATTAATATTTTTAAAGCTGGAAGCGTTCCTCCACCGCTTTGACTGCTGGATTATTGCTTACCTTGTCCTTTGGCAAAGTACCATATCTTTGAAAACTGCAACTACATATCTCATATACATGCATATATGTATCTATTAGATATATATATAGATTCCTGATTCCTCCACAGACCCTAAATAAATCGGTTTTTGATTGCATTCCCTTATCTTATCATCACTTTCCGATTGCATCCAATGCTGAGGCTATTTTTTTCAAGCACTCGATCACGTTTAAACTTTAAGGTAATTGCTTCTAAGTAAGCCGAGACATCCCGCCACCTTTCAAACCAGGGGCCACCCTAATGGCGCCGCTTTAAATGCATTCATCGTCGATTGCCGGTTCCGCTTCTCTGGGACCGTAGCCATCCATGCCCGGCCCGGATTCAGGCCAGCACCTGAGGCCTGTCAGGCGGAGACCGGAGAATAAAAAAAAATAACATCACATCGTAAAAATGTGTAATTGAATTTGGTAAACATTTTCTGCTCCCTGCGATGGTTAGATAAAAATAAACCAACATGAATAAAAAAAAAGAAAACATGCTGAAACCTTTGGCAAAACTCAATTTGGTTCCGGGACCAGATCATCCTCCCGCTGGGAGGATGAAGGATGCAGGAAGAAGGGAATCACAGTTAAAGCATCGAAATATTTCTATAAATAATTTTGATATCATGAATATTAAAGAAAATCTATTCAAAATATAATAATTTATTTTAATTATTTAAAATAGGTATTTCTGTGAAAAAGCTAACGTAGGTGTCCAAAAATTATTATATTTTTTATCATTAAAAAAGAATAAAGCCTATTTTTTCAAAACGAATTAAAATGTTTATTTAAAACTGCAGTTTAATATAATTTTTAGATAAATAAAACAAATACAACAAAAGAGATTATATTTCTCTCTTTTAAAGTCTGAACTCTAACCACATACTATGTATAATAAAATTATATTTAAATATCTGATGATAAAATAAACAACACCTTATGTTAAACCACAAACTAACACTGAATCACAATTTCACAAGGCATGAAAGTCCATCTTCTCTAGACAACGAGCCTCTTGATCCGCTTGCGAGAATTCTTCTGCATACGCAAATTCTTCGCGTACTTTCTTCGCGCTCTTTAAGTACTACTTACGGTAACTTTCCGGTCCTTCTCCTTGGCTTATTGGCTGTCAGTGCTTGGGACTAATTGCTTTGACGATCTGCTAATTTCGACACTTTTGTTTGTGGGAATGCAGTGGGGGGGAGGGCACAGTCACAGAAAAAACAAAAACAAACACTCGGGTGTTAACCATTGACCGTTAATCGTTAGCAGCACAACAACAAGTGCCAGGGGACTTAACACAACGTTGTGGCTCAGCTGTTCGGCAAGTAATATTTGTGTGTCGGTGTTAATGTTAATGTTAACGTTAACAAACAAACAAAAACTCTTTCGCTGCGCTCGTCGGGTGCTCTTGCGGCTCGCTCGGCTCTGCTCGTGCGTGCGTGTGTGTGCGTGCTTACAGTTACGCGGACGGGAATCGACTTGTAGGCTGGCCAACTGTTGCGGTCTGCTTTATAGCATTCTCGCTGGGCGAGAGAGAGAGACGGCGCCAGAGAGTGATAGCGCTGCTCTCGCTCTCCCACTCCAGCACCACCGCGGTGCACCGGCTGCGTGGGCAGCAGCAGGATAACGCAAGCATATGCAGACCAAGTGCAGGCAGAAGCACCGGCAGAGGATGCAGCGGCAGAAGAATCAGCAGCAGCCATGTCAATTAGTACTGGCCAGGCGGAAGCTGGCTTGGTCTCTCTCTCTCTTTCTATCGTTCGGCCCTCTCTTTCGTTCTGGCACAGGCCAGGCTTAACACAGTGGGCAGCATCATCGTGACGCCTTCTAAATCAGAAACAGCTGAGCGGCAAGATCGCTGCAAGTGATCGCTCTCTCTCGTTACCTCTTAAAAAACGCGAGAGCCTGCAGGTGCCGAAGAGAGTGTTGAGAACGTTGGCCAGAGAGAGAGAGAGAGCCAACTTTGATATAGCCGCTCTGTGGGCGGCACTAGGGGCCACACAGCTAGTTCAAAGGTCGCGGTGCAGGTAGGCATCAGTCACAAATTGGTCGGCAGACAGTCGTTGCTACCCAGCGAGAAATTTACAAATTGATTTAAATTTTCCCTTACTTTAGAGTGAAAAAAAAACACACCTAACTTTGTTTTTAAAACTTAGTATACTTTTTGATGTCGCAGCTCTAAAGAAAAGTGAAAATTTTAGATGAAAATTGGTTCCTTTTTATTTCTGCAGTGTATCTGAACATGATTGATGTGCGGGTCTATGGCTGACTTCCTATACAAACTGAGTGTTTAAACAGCTTCGCTTTGGGTTTTCTAGGGTTAATCACCGATAGGTTAACCGCTCATTAAATCGTAAAATTGCCGAAATTATTTTCCCTGAAAAATAGTTGAGTCCACCTGATGTCCTTTTTAGTTTACGGCGGCTATAAAGTAATTATGATGTAAATGTGCTTACCTGTTGCATCAGCCAAAAGGGAAAGCAATGCCGGTGGCCATAAATCAGTTTTTAAATGAGCCGTCGATCATTTATCTATATCCTTGCTGTCTCATCAATCAATTAACGAATTGCCAGTGAATTAATCACTGTGGCTCACACCCCTTTTATGATTTTCTAAACTCGTACCACTGTGCAGAGGCTACTCTCTGTCCCGCTCGCACTTACAATCTCTCTCCCTCTCGCATACTCTCACCCACGCGAAAACTCCTTGGAAACGGCAAGTTTTTCTGATTTTACTTGCTGTTCGTTCCGGCAGCCCAACTACCTTTCTCTCTCCCACTCACACCCAATCGTATCAATGTCACCTAAGCATACACTCTAAATAAAACCGCTCGTGTTTGTCAGCTGAGTAAACTCAATTATGGGAGACAGCAGTGCTTCAAGGCTTTAGATATGGCCTCATGTGCATTTACAAATTTTTTTAATATAATATTTTAGGTCCCAGATTTTTTATAATATTTTTTAAGTGTATAGTTTGCTGCAAAATTGCAGTGTATTCATCAACATCCATTGCCGACCTACCTCAAGTTGAGACTAGCTACATATGTATGTATATATGTATGTACATATTTACATCTTTAGAGCAAAGTATGAGGGGGTATATCGACTAATTTGGTCGTTACGCTCATCAATATCATATTGAAAATATTATGCACTTTGCAATATCAAAATATACCTCATTTAATTACATAAATCTAATTTATTTATTATTTCACTCCTTCTATGTACATAGATTTTTTTGTTGTGTTCGATTTATGACATTGGGGCACGCTCTCTCTCCGTTGCCGTCGCTCTGTTCGTCCCTCTCTGGCGCCCGCACAACAGGTGGCTGCTGCTTGGCACTCGCCTCGCACTCGCACTCCCACTGGCAATGGGCAATTACACTGCTCCTGCTCTCCGTAGATAAATAGGCAAACAAATCGAAAGCGATTCCGTGCAATTATGGCTATAGCAGGGCGGTGGGGGCGGGGAGACACATATGCATATGTATGTATGTATGTATTTAAAATGTACATGTGTAGCTGCGTGCGGACATGTGTTAGCCTCGTATGGAAATCATCGGGTGAATTATCATTTCGTGGGACATCGGCAGTCAGTCAGTCAGCATAGGAAAGCGAATTAACGTCGGGCCAATGACGGGGCAACTTTTTGCCGACGTTGTTGTGATTCTTGATTTTTAAATAAAATATAACAACAAATACTCGTTTCGGTATCGGTGTTCAGTATCTCAATCTGTATCTGTGTCTGTATCTGTATCTATAGCGCTAGTGCTGTGCTAGCCCTAGCTCTAGCTGTATCTGCTGTTGCTGTGTTGCGTGCTTTTTGTTATTTGTTTTAATTTGACTTTGATGTTTTTACAACCCTAGGGGTGCGGTGGTAGCCATAAAAAAAGCAAAACAGAGCAGCGGATCGTTCGTTTATTTTTGTTTGCATTTGGTATCTCACAAAAAAATAAAAAAATATTATTCTGTCTAATTAAGGCGAAAGTTTTCTACATAGAACATATGTAAGTTCCACCTGTAGAGGTGGCACGAGCCTCGAACGTAACGGCAACAGGTAGCGACAACGCTAACGAGCAACTTGTTAAACTTCAATTCGTACAATTCGCAGAGCACCTTTGATAACAACACACGCCCCTCCATCCCTATCGGCGCTACCAAATCAGCTGAGAAGCACTAACTGCTCACATACAAACTTATGTAGATTGTTTCCATCCACTCTATTTCGTTGCGTTTCGAAATTCAAATCGGGGAAAGGCAATCAAAAGGTACGTTTATCTCATAAAAAAGTTTATAACTATGCAAACTTATAGGCCTATTCGATTTCACAATAAAACATACACTCAATGAATTTCTTTCATAAAAAATTTGTAATTTGTATTTAAAAAAAGAAAACGAAAAGCTTTATAATCGTGTAATTCAAATCGCATAAATTTTTAGCAGTGTCTCGCTGAAATCCAACTTGGGAATTTTAGGTGCACTTCGAAAACTTATTATGGGTTTAATCAAATGCACAAAATCATTTGGATCTTAGAAACTGTTTTATTCTGCAATTTGTACAATAAACAAAATATATATAATAATAAATTTAAATCATAGAAGCTTCGCGAACTACACTTTCGCCACGCACTGTAACCGAGCCGGTGAGTAAGTGAGCAGCCGCTCAGTTAGTCGGAGACCCTTCCAATTTACTTGGGCAAATATTAGCCATTAGATTAGACGGACTCCCACCGACTGACGAATCCCCGAAAAAAAAGTAATTAGCGTCATAACCGAGCTTAAGATAGTTGGTATGGCGCTCCATAAAAGATTGCGCTGTCGCAATCTGGAATTTCTCAGACGTTAAATATTTACAACTGTAATTTGTGGGCAAAACTTTGCACCGCCGCAGCACCATGCGTCACTCACTCACTTTGTACTTCTGGCGAACCGTGATTGTTGAGATTCTTTTTTATTTTTGGGGCCAACACTTGACTCACGACAGTCATAGCAAAAAGCTTGGCTATAATTACTGGCAATTTTATTGGTTGCCCATAATGACACAAGTCGTCGTTCGGGACCTTCCCAGATAGCTAAGACAGTGTTCTGGAAACACAAGAATAGTTTCAATAGCTAATTTCTACCTGGATTTAATTACACCATTTTTCAAGGTCCATAAATACATACGTAAATATATTTTTCCAGCGAATTTAACTATAGTAGCGATTTTATGTCTGTTGTGCAATCTTTTCCTATTGAATAATTGCTGTTATCTCTTTTTGATTAAATTTAAAAAAGTTATACGTCATCAGCAATGACTAGGAATATTTGTTGTTGATCCAAAGTCAAACCGAAGAGCACGTCATAAGGCTTTAATCGAAAAGAAATAAAACCAGTTAACAAATTAATTTGCAGGCTATGAATATTGAACTATGAATTGAACATACTAAAAAAACTTCCGTTGATACCTTTTAAATTTCATTTAATTATGACTTTGACTTTAAAATATTTGTACTAAATTATTCCGCCTCTTATCACAATTCAAATTACATTTTTGTGTGGCCCCCAAAAATATTCACAGCTCATCGTGACATCCAGACAAAGCTAAAATATAATAATATATAAAAAATACAAACAAATCCATTCAGATCTCGACCTGGTGCTTGACTTGGAAAGGAATTCAATAGAAATACTTTAGGCCCGTTAACCCAATTAGTTCACGAAGTGCACTTCAAACAATAAACTTGCTAGTTAATACCAAAAACAAACAACAAACAAATGTGAAAGAATAAAGGAAATAAAGCAAAGCTGGCAATAACAAGAAAAATTATTTTCAAGACAAATTTATGATGATATAAAGATTAGTAAGAATAATAATTTCCAGTGAGAAAATAAAAAGAAATATAATAAATAAAGTAAACCCATATTTTTTTCCGATAGAATCGATATTCCTGCTTAAAAAACTATATTTGTCGATATTTAAAATTTCGATATATCAAAGTTTACGATATTTTCAATATACGTTCCAAATTCAGCCTAATTTCGCTTTATTTTCAACACTTGTAATAATTTAAACATAATAATATTTTTTAAAAACTCACCAGAAATTCGTTTTAATTTATTTAATTTATTTATTTTAACAACGCTTCCTCAGAAAACAGAACGCTTCACATCGCTGGAGGTAACAACGCCTTTTAATTTGAACTCTTTCCTGTATGAATGAAGAAGTGGGAATATATTTGCATAAGAAATCAGAATCCCCAGCAAAGCAAATAAAAAAGGCATAAAACGCATCAACCTCCCCGATCTTTTCATAAAGATTCACTTTCAGCTGGAGCAGCATCCCGAGATCAACAGCCGGGATTGGGAATGGGCAAGGGAATGCTAAATGTTACTTGGTCTTGGTCTTGGTCTTCTTGGACTGCCCATCGACACACTCCAATTTCGCCAGGCATTTATGCAAATATTTAGTGGAAGTGCAGCAACATGTTTCTGGTGTCCAAACATCGGCGGGCCTGCTGTTGCTGTCTTTAGCTTTTGGCATCCACATATTTGCGGTTAGTTTATTGACCGAGTTCCAGCCAGTAACCGGTTCTCCTGCAACGAAAATCGTACCAGGAATAATAATACCAAGACCGCACGCCATCGTTTCATTAGCCGCAGACTGGGAGCAGGCCAGGCCAAAAGGCCCATTCTCAGGCCAAGGCTCAGGCTCAAACTCTGGCTCAGGCATTGCAGTTAATTTCGCCACATTGTCACATACTTTTGCCACCCCGAGGGGCGTTCGCAACCGAGTCGGAGTCGGAGTCGAACTTGAGCTGGAGAAGATTTCCGTTCACTGCGGTTTTGGCTAACCAATTATCAGCGATTCCATGACACTTTGCCCGACGATGACTTGACATTTGGCAGCGACTGTGAGATAAAAAAGCACATAAAGTAAGTCAAAGATAAAATAAACTTTTAAACTGTAGTTGTACCTTACACATAAAAAAATAGAGAAATTGCACTTATTAATGCAGTTATTAACCATCTTGAAAAAATATAATTCAATTTTTTAAAGCTTAAAAAGTGTATGCGCCAATAAAAAAAAAATTCATTATAATAAACAACATTTAAATATAAATGCTTTTAAGTTTTTTTTTCGCTTAAAAAAACCTTTTAACTATATTTAAATAATATTTAACGTGTCATATAATATTAAAAATAAAAATGTAATCGTTTTGGGATATGTAATTTAAATATTACGTTATGTTTCTTGCATGAATAACCATATTTATATATTTAAAAATGAACCCTTTTCTTAAAAATCAGAAAAAAAAACATTTTTAAATCTAGGCCAATTTTTCTTGAATACAGTAAAATTTAATTTAACAAAATTAAAAATGATTTTTATAAACCTAATATTGTTGACGATTTTATTGATAAAATTGGTTATTATTAAAATATTGCTAACACATAAAAGAATATGATTGTATAAAAATGATTGATATGTGAACAAATTAAGCATGTTTATTTACAGTAGTTTTTTCATTTAAGTAAAATAAGGATGATGTATGATTTCTCTATTTCGAAAAGATGTATATTAAAAATAACCAAAAACTAAAAATTATTTAATAAAAATTAAAAGTTGCTTATAAAAAGAAGCTCATATCTTAGATCAAGCCAAAAACTTCCAAGTGGTATTAAAATCTTTTAATTTAAGCAAAAATCGATATATTAAAGTATCAGAAAGAAAATATTTATCGAAATTGGTTTCAAGTACATTTAAAAATACTATTTCGAATATATTAAAAACTTTTTATTGCTATACCTTATACCAAATTTATAAATATGTATATTTTCTATCCATTTGCCATTCTCGAAAACTTTCTAAAATTGTTCACAGACATGTATTAACATCATAAGATGGATATATGAATATAAACGAATTGGAAGAGTCTCATTTTTAAAGATATTAATAGTGGTCAAGAGTGAAACCAAGTTAAAATTGCTCTATATAACCATGCGTATTAGAAAATAATGGATAAATCTGTTAAAGGCAGCATTGAAAAGCTAGAAATAATGTAATCTTAAACATAAGCTATTTAAAAAGATTTGTGGAAATGTAGTTGTAAGCGCAACAATAACATTGCCACAAATTTTTTATAATAAAAAAACTATTTTTAGATTTTACGAATTTTTTTTTTAGCCTATAGATCTTTATGGACTTGTATTTAATGACAACAAAAAAATTATAATAAATTTAGGTATAATTACTTTTCAGATACCTGAAACTAAAACTTCCATAACTTGACTACGACTGTGATTTCTATATTTAATTTTTTATATTTTAATTATCACTAAAAATGTAAAGCCAGAGACTTATTAAACACAGCTTTAATTATGTGATCTCCTGAACTGCACTCTCCTTTTATGGGAAATTAAATAAGATGCATAACGTCCTCGAATTTCTCGGGCTGGGTCGAGGATTATGCATATTATTCCATATAATATAGTACCATATATACCAAGTACCAATATAGTTTTATGACAAATATATCTAATCATCGGTATAATAAAGAAAATATATAATATATAAAACCTTATCATGAAAATATTATGCGCATAAAAATGTAGCTTATCATTGTGACAAAAACCTTACTCCAACTTATAATAAAGTTTTAAGCCTCTAGGGCAAAATAAATATTGTAGTTTTCCAATTTTTAAATATGGGTTGGGTCCAAGCTATATAAGTAGTAAGTAATATGATTTAAGCCCTTAACAGTGAAAGACCTTTTTATTTTTGGTTTATTCGGTTTTTTATGTTGGCAGCTTAGGCATATTAATTAACAATTATCAATATTTAATACAAATAATTAGCTACACTCGAATATACAGTATATACACAATGTACACGCAGAATATAATTTACATAAACATATAGAGTATAAAAAAAAAACACTGGTCAAAGGTGATAACAAGAAGAACATTTCGCTAGAGTTAACATAAGATGGATGGTGTTGTTCTTGGTCCTGGATGTCCCTGCTCAGTCGATCGTCTTCACCGGCGGTGATTTTCGGGTGCTAGCACGTATAAAGTCCTCCAGATACCAGCCCGCAAAGGCCATTAAGCACAAGGCATTCAGCAGGTTAAGGGTCACCGCATAGCTGGTGTGGTCGCGAATCAGGCCTGCAAGCAAAGAATTTTCAGTTGATATAAATGGAAACAAAGCCATAGCTGGTTTACTCACCAATCAGGGGTCCAAAGACCATGGAGAAGGTGCCCGACATGAGCAGCTGCAGTCCGGCAGCCGCTGGCAATCGCTTCAGCGGCACATAGCTGGGTATGATCAGTGACCAGAAGACCGTGCGGAAGGCCTTGTTTAGACCCAGCCAAAGGAAGATGGCCATCATTGCGTAAAAGTTGGTGGTCATCGAAAGGAAGAAGCGGCCAATGCACATGCCCAGGATGCCCACCACGAAGAAGGTGCGATTACTCAGATTTATCTTGGCGGTGATTAGTGGTATGGCGAACCGTACCAGCAGATCGAACAGTCCCAGAGTGGACATGGCCAAGGCGATCTGATCTTTGTCTTTGAAGCCCAGATCGTCCAGGATGAAGGGTGTCAGAATGGCGAAATTGATCTCCACAAAGTTAATAAGCGTAATGCCCACGGCCAGGTTCACGTAGGTGATATCGCGCAGCAAATCCAGGTCAAAGAAGATCACAACCTTCATATAGAAGGGTAGCTTCTTGCGACGCTGGCGCTCCTCTTCATCCTCCAGCTCCTGCTTCTCCTTTTCCGTGAGCTCGGCAGAGCGCAACTTGTGCTGCTCCTGCTCCTCCTCTTCGGTCTCGTAGCCCATGGCCTCCTCTTCCTTGATGCTATGGCTAACCGAGATACTGCGCTGCTGCCTTCCGCCCGGATTCGAGTCCTTGCTGCTCAGCCGCTTCAGCTCCACATGGCCATTGCCCTCGTTCTTGTCCCAGGTGTTCAGGCGATTGCGAGTCCCACTGCTGTTGAGCGAGGCCCGTGATCCGAACCATCCGTCGTTGGCCCGCGGCAGAACCGGTGTCTCTGGCTCCACCACATGCTTGATGATATCCTCGTCCTGGTCCTCGCGCTCTGCCAACGGCTTCTCTGGCTGCAGTGCCTCAGCATCGCGATCGCGCTTCACCACATGCCACTTCACGGGCTGATAGATCAGCGAGCAGGCAATAGTGTGCAGCGAGGCGCCGGCAAAGAGCAGGGTCGTGCCCTGAACCCCAAACACCTGCAGCATGTAGGTGGCGAAATAGGGGCAGACAATGGGTCCGAGTCCTGCCACGCCAAACTGGTAAGCAGTGGCTGTGCGTCGCTTCACCTTGAAGTACGTGTTAACTGCCAGCGAGGAGGCGCTGACCGTTAGGCCTCGTCCGAATCCATAAATGATCGAGAAGCTCAACAGGTAAACAGTAAAGGTGTCCGCGAACACCATCCAAAAGAGACCGGCGAAGGTGAGCACGGAGCCCCAAAGGGCCACCACTCGGTAGGTGTAACGTCGGAAGAGCGGGCCATTGAGAAGACCTGGTGGAGATCGAGAAAGGGAGTTCAAAATCTTTAAATAAATATTACATTAAATATTCCAATTAAATAAGAAATTAAATAATTAATTTAAATGAATTAAATTAATAAAAATAAATATTACATTAAATATTCCAATTAAATAATAAATTAAATAATTAATTTAAATGAATTAAATTAATAAAAATAAATATTCCAATTAAATATTCCAATTAAATAATAAATTAAATAATTAATTAAATAGTAAATTAATTTTTAAATATATTTTTATTACACTTCGTATTTTTGTAGCATACTTTTGGACACTCTTTCAAACGATTTTAAAGGCACTGCGAAATGTAAATAATTAAATTAAATTAATTAAATTAATCAAATTTTACATTTCACATATAATTTATTGTCACATAATTTTATAGAAAATTAAATGAAAATTGTGAACATAATAGAGTTTATCGCTATTTCAAGCTATTATTTCATATTTAAACCCTCTAAATTAGTTTTAAAAAACCACATTAAATAATAATATATTTTCTCACCCGCTTTTTAACAGCTTAATATCTATACAGACTTTTATCTAGTGATGGTGTCATACATATAGCTCATTTAGCTATCCAGAAATTGAGCAAAACAAACGTTGATGCAGCTAAATATAAATGCAGCGCGAATTTTAATACGCCATCCAAATGATAATGATTCTATACTAGATTCCTAGTGTATCGAGTGGTTGTACTATATATATTTCTGTAAAAATATGTGTATATATTTACCCGTAAATGCAGACACAGCAATTTGTGTGTTGATGATGGTGGTCAGCTCGGAACTGGATATGCCCAGGTTGGCCATACGATCGCGGAAAAGGATGCCGAATTGTTGGGCCAAGGCGAAGGTCACAAGCTGTAAGAAAATCAAATATATAAGTTATATGTGTATCTATATCGAACAAGAGGGTTTATTTGTTCACTTTATTAGTGAGTGAACAAGAATAATTAAATGTTTACTTAGTTGTTCAGATGCTTATTGCTTGTGTATTAACATATATAAATATTGTATTCAAACAGAAATGATTAGAAACCGGAAAAGCAAATTCAAAAAGAAATAAGACAAAGTGAACGCAAATGAACAAGTTAGTGAATAAGTAAGTGTTCACTTAGTTTACACAAGTTCCTGATTTATCAGTTTAGTGTTCACTGAATTATTTACATCATGTTATTATTTATTTATTTATATTTAATTTATTTTTGGTTCAACTAATAAGAGAAATAACAAAGAAGAGTGAAAATGAACAGCAAGTGAACATGTTCATTGTATTTTAGCAAGTGAACAATTTATGTTCTTTTTCACTCATAATGGACATGGACAACCTGGACTGGAGTTGGCTTGTACTTACAATATTAACGCCACTGGCGATGGCCACCAGCCAGCCCCATCCTCCATCGGGCGCCACAAAGTCATCGCCCAGGTCGCTCTTGTCGCGCCTCTTCTTCTTTACAGGATGGGATCCAGGCGTGGATTGGGAATGCAAATGGGTGGTGGTGGTAGTTTGAGGCGATGATATCTTGGTCTTGGCCGCTGATCCATTCTTGGACAGCAGCTGGACGGTCTGCTCGGCCTCGGGCAGTCTCAGTCTGGATGCCTCCGTGTTGTTGTTGTTGCTATTGTTATTGTTGTTATTGCTGAGATGGCTTCCATTATCGGCCATCTTGGAATTGTGTGCGACTGTGACTGGGCTAGGAGGGTTTGGGTTAGGAAGTGGGACTAGGAGCTAGGGCTTGGGTTAGGTTAGCGCTGGGGTCTAAAGTCTGGATGTTGCATCCCTGGATGGCTGGACGAGAGCAGGTTCTTGGGAGCAGTGATGATTCCAACTCTGCAAAAGATCAAGTTTAAAAGAAAAACAAAGGTTGTATTAGTTTGAGAGAAATAAACATACAAATTTAATTATTGTTTGCTTAGTATTGTTTTTTAAGGCATTATTAAAATATATTTAGCTCAAAATATGTTACTAATTTGAAGGTTGTTAAATAATAATTTATAAGATAATGACCAACTAACTATAGTAATTACAATTAATTTACAAATCACTTTAATAATTAAATAAATTGAACTGATGTCATTGCCAACTTGTATGCGACTGAGAATGTAGGAACGTGGCTTCAGATAAATATTTTGTTAAGCAATTTCACATTTAATATACTTTTTATGCTCATTCACAATTTATTTCACCATAAACCAAAGCTCTTCGTTATGTGTTTTGGCTTTGCATAAATTATTATGTTAAAGGGCACATTTCTTTACATTTTCAGTCACTGGATTACTTTAAAACACCTTTAATTAGCCTCTAATATATTAATAATAAATTAATTAAAGATAAACATAAATATTATAACCTCCTTCACTGTCTAACCACTTTCAAGGCATTCAAAATAAAAAATAAATAAAGAACTGGGAACAGCCGAGACAATATTTAAACTCGAAGTGAATTGATTTGCACACAGAATCGATGATTGTGTTGTTAGACAATCGATTACGGCTCAATTGAGCTATTGCTTTATTTTTTACTGTATTTTTGTATATATTTTTTGTATTTTATCAGAGCTACGCGAGACGGCGGAACGAAAGGCTGAACCTCAACTGACCGATCAGCCGGATCAGTGATATTTTGGGCAAACTCTCACTCTTCTTACGCTAAACGATTCCGATTCCGGGCGGGAGGGGAGATATTTTTGGAAATATGCCTGGAAACGTGACTGCTAAAAGAGCAACAACTAAGTAAATAACACCAACTTAACACCCATTATATAAAAAAAAAAAAAAAAATATATATATACATATATCGTCAATGGGTGCGTTTGTTGTCGATCGGCCGAGAGAGCGCCGCATTTGCCTTATCGAGAGAGCTTGTTCCAGCGGGCTTGATTTTCCTTTTCGGAATTTCGTATCCGAGAGTTTGCTGCTGACCACCAGTGAGTTTGTCGTAAATACTTGCGGCAAAGACACCGCAAAACACCGAGATATCGCTGGGCTCTGGGCTTTTTTATATGAGATCGTTTCGGTGCCCGCCATGTGATAAGGCGCAGGGCGACCGATATCTTCTAATTAATAATTATATTGTTGCCCAGCGAAGATATCCGCAACACGCGGTGCCAGTACAACCAGAGTTTTCACTTCTCAGGCCCATGATTAATACACAGAGAATAATAAGTGATGTGATACACTTTAATTCTTGGTTAATAGTAAACTGTATATAATGGCATAAAGAAAATATTTCCAACTTAAGTTAAGTTTTAATATCAGTTAACTCCCTGTTAAGTGCCGGTTACGTTACTAATAAAGTTTAAAAGGCAAATTATAAGTGTCTTTTTATTGGAACTTAGTTGTAAATTTGTTGGTAAGAATATTTCTAAACGAAATATTTAAATGTTGGTTAATATTCAACTCCACAAATAAAAATATATTAAATATATAATATTTAAGTTAGTTTCCATGCATATCAATTCATCACTTCAACATGGTTAACAGAACAGCACGTTTCATAGGCTTTTTAACTTCCGGTTAAGTGCCTGTTGAGTTATTAATAAAGTTTTAAAAACAAATTTTAGTTGTTTTGTGTTTGAAGCCTAGTTGTACATTTTCTAGTCGAAATGTTTAAATGTTGGTCAATATCCAACTCCACAAAATGCAATGCAATATTATCACTACAAAACGGTTAACAGAAAGGAAAGTCTTTTTAACTCCCAGTTAAATGCCGGTAAGAATTAAGTTTTTCTCTTTATAGAATCACCGAATTTCCGTTCATATTTGGAGTGTACCAACCGCCGATTTGGTATATTGCTTGCTTACTCGCCTTATGGATCACCGACTGACTTCTGACTGACTGGAGACCAAGTAATGTTGTTGCAGCTTTGGCGATCGCTCCAGCAGCTGAACCGAGTCAAACCGAAGCTATCCGCGAGCAGAAGTAGAAGCAGAAGATAAGATTCGCTGGCAAAGTTCGCTTTATTTACGATATATACTAGAGGCGGGCAACTGTGTGTACTAAAGGTCGCATAGCTATTAAAACGCTGCTCAAATATCAATTTTACAGCGTTTTAATTGTCCGGCAATCGGGAACAAGCAAGGCACAGTGGGCGAAAACAGACTTTTGACTTGGCTTATCACAACTACGATTCGCACCGATACCAATACGATATAACCATACATATGTATATGTATAATTGCCGCTAATTGACCTTAAGCCACTGAGTGAATCGGCTCTTTTGTTATCGATCTGAGGAAAATACTGGCATATGCAGGGAACATGGATAACGAAAGCCAAGGGAGGGCTATGGAATTTTTCAATGCCATTCAGCCGCGATCGGACCATCATCGGTGATCGATCAGGCTAGCACGTGGCAGACAGCACGTTGGCAACAGGAAAAGCAGGAGGACAGGTACACGTGATGATTCTCGTGCTTATAAATGATAATAGCTAAGGGATAAGACTTGCGTTTGTCTAAAAAAGAAGCCAGATCTTTTAAGATATAAATAATTATAATAATATAAAATCAAATCATAATTCTCCTTTCGCAAGTAAAGCCCTTTCGGTATGGTGACCTATTTAATTGTTTATCACTCTCAATGACACCACAACACACCACGCAACTGATATCGTTTTGATGGCATATGACAGAATTAAATATCATTATTGAATTAGTCATATATGTAGTACAAATGAGGCTTGTGGTGAGACATTATGACTTGGGGGTTTCTGAATAGAATGAAGAATTCGAATTAAAATCACACTTTTAATTTAATTACAAAATTTATTCTAACTTAGCAGATTTAAAGTTATTTATGCTGTTTTACAGAATGTGATTTTGGAAAATATGCCTTTGGGTTTAATCAATTATCAGATCATTTAATTTATCAATGTTTTTTTTTTCCTCCTATTTGCAAATTAAACACATCGTGTGATTATTCCATGACTAAACTTTGATCGCTGATCGACTCTGCCCGCTTCCTGTTCATTCAGTCTTATTCACAGGGAAAAAGTTTGATAACACTTAACGCCCGATTGTAAACACACTCTCTCAGCTAAAGTTTTGTTCGCGCAATTAGAAATTCCACGATTAAAAGTCTTTTTTTGGAAAATGCCATTAAAGAACTTCGCGAAACCTGATGTACACATATGGTAGTGGATGTTGATTAACACGCGACGGCGTCGTCGTCATCGTAGTCGTTAGAAGTTGTTTAAGACGCTTAATACTCTCAATACGTTTTTAAGACATTTAAAGCTAAAAGCAAACATCTGTATAATTAGAGCTTTCCGCATTATACGACACTCTTCGCACTCCATAAAAAGACAGAGCAGAGCTGTGGGGATGCCCGTGGGCCAATAAAAACATTTACGGCTGTCTACAATTGGTAGCCACTGTAGAGCCGCTGTAAAGACATAATCGCTGCTGTTGGCCGAGAGGAAAAGTCGAAGGCGAGACTTTGATTGATTTGTGATTGATGGTTAGGAGAACATCACGTATGCACCGGTATAACGTTTGTAAAATCGAAAATGAATAAAGTAGTTAACATAGTTTAATAGAATTTCGCAAGCCTATTTAATATTATTTATTAAATAAAAAAAATGTTTTTACTTTCATTAAATATTATTTTTCTTTTGCATTTTTTATTTATTAATTTATATTGCAAAATAGGTTTAAACAGGATTGTTTCTGCTAAAAAAAGGGATAATTTATGTAGGTATTTAAATAATTTTTTAAATTTATTTTTTTAATTTAAATAGGTTATAAATCAAGTCTTCTAATTATATATTTATCATTACCATTTTTCTTTGAAAAATTTAATTTAATATTTTCACTTCAAATGGAGATTGCAAAGTTTATGATCTCAAGATTTTGTTTATTTCATAATATAATATTTTATATTTTTATTTATTATAATTATTAAATTACCCTTTTAAATTTTCTTTTTATGACCTATAAATGACATTTTATCAAACAAAATACATATGTACATATACATACATACATATGTATGTATAAAAAGAAATAAGTATTAAATACGAAAAAAAAAAAAAATGTTCTAAGATTTTATGAAATACTTCGTTTCTTGTTTAAAAACGTAATACATATGTACATATACATAGATGTATTTATTGTTTGCTTTTGCTTTTTTCGATCAGCTGATAACAGATGAATATGTGCATGTTTTTTGATATTATAAAAAACCACAACTCTTTTGACCGCTAGGCTTCACAAAAATATTTAAATACATATGTACATACATACATATGTATTATGTATGTATGTACATCTTTGGCGTCTATATATTCCGGATTCCGAGCACGTGTCTCGTGGAAAGCGCGCGCATTGCTTGAAAAAAAAAATTAATACAAAATAGAAAATATCATTTGGCTTGCTCTAGTGCTAATTGCTACTAAACTAAAATACAAATGCTAAAACACGCACGTACACACACACACACACACACTCTCTATAGGTTTTTTTTGTATTGGGGCCGTACGTTTTATTTTCGTAAATGATTTTTCTCTCCTTCTGTTGCTTCGGTTGTTACTTCTGTTGCTTTGCCGTTGTTTTGTTGCGTTTCTGTCGCGCGCCTTGCTTCTCTCTCTCCTCTTTAGGTCGCTTTTCACATGGCACAGTGCGTAGAGTTCAAAACAAAACATAAAAACAAAACAAAAAAGCTAAACAAGGAGACGGCGACGGGCCGAGTGAATCGAGTAATTAGAATAGATTCAACAGGCGACGACTTTTCCGTTACGTTCACCAGCGCGAACTGAACTGAACACTTTTGTGAATTATAGTATTAAACACCCAAACACAACACACACACGCGCAGGCTACTGCGACGCACACTTGCAGGCACAGTGCTCGCTTTTGTCACAGTGTGCGTGTTATTTTGGTCTTTTGGCTTCACTTCTGCCGCCGCCGCTGTTCTTCTCTGCTGCGCCGCTGCTGCTGCCTTTCGCTGCCTTTTCGGCCGCGTATTTGCCTTACCGTTATTGCTTATTGCTTGCCGTGTGTTGTTGCTGCATTTGCCGTTTTGATAAGAGAATTACTTTTTTTGTACCGTTGTATTTGCTTTACTGTTGTTGTAATTAGTTTTGTCGTCGCAGGCGCGATTATCAGGGGCAAATATATGTAAGTATGTACATACGAACACTTGTATGCACACGGACATCCGCACATACATTCAAACACAAACACTTACACATACGCACGCATCAAGATCAGAGCGTATTACGTTTACGTAAAGCGCACGCAAAAAAACACAAAAAAAAGTAAAGAGGAAAACAGAACACAACCTCATAAATACATTATGATAGCGGCGGCGGCGATTAGAATTTGATTTTGTCACCGCCAGCCACCGTGGGACGAATCGCATTTAACGCGTGGGGGCTCCTTCCTGGCTGCTAGGTAATGAGTGGAAACACGGCAAGAAAACTGCAGCAGCTGTAGGTATACATTAAATTAGTATATTGTAAATTTGTTTCTCTCAATTTATCTTTATATTTCTCTCTTTGTCTCTTTATATAATTATCTCTCTCTCTCTCTCTCTCTAACCCTTTGTACATATTTCTATTAATTACTTCACGAATCCATCTATCCACTCTCCTATTTATCTCTCTATCGTACCTCCTTCCCCTATATCTGTCTCCATATCTTTCTCTCAATCGTTAAGAGAAAAGCTCTATAAATGTAAATATAAATCTTTTAAGTTTCTTTTTATTTTCGTTTCTGTAAATAATTATTTTATTTATTACACAAACTTTATTTTGTTGTTTGTTATGGTGTTTTTTTTTTTTTTTTTTTTTTTTTATTGGTAATTTTTAAATTGTTATTTTTTATTTGTATTTTTTAAATTTAATTTTTTATTTTTTGTATTGCTTTTATTTATTATTAAATTGTATGTTTGAAGTACTCGGAGTTTGCAATCAATTGTCGCTGCGAATGTTATCAATAAATTCCACTCGCCAATAGGCACAACGATAACAGCTTAATTAAAATTGAAATTGCTGGTAACCTAATAATACTAATACAACAATTCCAAATTCGAGTCCAAAAAGGTGGCAGTAGAAAACCATAAACTATATTTTTCTTTAACCTTATTAACCTAACTAAAGTTCAAGGTTTTAAAACCATTTACTTGAAAAATACTGGAATCACACTAATTTCATAAATCTTACAAAAATATATATTTATTTCCACTATTTATATTGATCCCAGCCCACTGTGCGTCTTGTCTGAGACGTCTCCTACGGGAGGAAATGCGCATAGTTGGCCGGCAAGTGACAGGCGGCAGGAACCCCGGCCCTCAAGTATAAGCCCTCGGCGTGATGTTGACAGCCCGTCGTCAACCGGGGAAACAAGGAGCGAGAACTCAAAGCTGGCCAAGTCCAGGGTCTACTAGGGTGTCGTAACTATGTACATACCTCACCCGGTGGGCATTAAGGTTCCAAGGCTGTCGGGACCCGTGACGCGCATGTCGCCGATCGAGGATTACGCATGGTCGTTGTCGTGAGTTACCATCTTCGATAGTGCTTGCGGGTTTATCTTTCGGTCTGGGGAACTTCCATTTCATTGATTTGCGGATTCGGGCTATGGTGGGGTGCAGGGGTCAAAACGAATCAAGTGAAAGGCTCGACTCTGTTCGGGATACATACAAACGAGGTATTCCTAGAATTTGCGGGTATATTGATTATAAAAGATATCCTAATATAATATTACTGGTAAGAGAAGGTAAAAAATGCATATTTTAAAAATTAATTCATGGACACAAGGAGTATGTGCCACTGTCGGATCTTTATAGTTATTACTTGTTTTTATTCAAAACAGTCTAGATTTCGAGTCCAGCTTTGTCATGCTTTGAGCTCGACATTTGGCTTTGGCGAATTATCAGCTACTAGTGCCAGGCTATAAATAATTTGTTTGAAAATTAATTAATGTTATTTTCTAGTTTTTGTCACCCTACTTACTCAGTAGCTTCAAACGTATTATCTTAAATATACCAATTATGAACGGAATACAATATCGAACTGGACTGGCGGAGACCTTTAGTCCCCCAATCATCATCTGGAGTGGTCCGAATTTTGGCTCGTTTTGCGGCGTTTACAATTCCACCGATAAGAGCCCACACATTTTATTTGCCATTTGGAATTTTATTTTTATTTATTTTTTATTTTTGCTAGGGTACAAAGACCAAGGTGGGTGTGTCGACCCATAAATATAGCAGCAGCAGCAGCGGCAACAGCAGTTTCTTTCTTGTCCCCAATTACGAGGATCATGACATGGCCATATAATCGAGAGACCTAGGCACTAGGCAGGAGACCTGCCTCCAGTGCCGAAGATAAGGCCCATGTGCGATCGAATTTGTGGTGGAGGATGTTATAAAGTCGTTGCTTGGCACAGTGGAGCTTCGCTAAGTAGCGAAAACATATATATTATATATCGACAAGAATAACGCGCTCAGTATCATATGGAAAGTTTTGTAAATTGTAATATTTTAAAATTTTAAATATTTTAAATTGTTGCATTTATCATTTAAATATTAATATAAATATTTAAATATTAATATAAATATTTAAATATCAATATAAGTATTTAAATATTAATATAAATATTTAAATATTAACAAAAATTGCAGAATTAGGATCTTGCGAAAAGCGATCGGTAATTATATTTATAAATTGTATTATTATTATTTTAATTATTTTATTAATAATATTATTAATTTTTAATACATACATATCGTACATATGTACATAGTTTTTTTTTTAGTTTTAAATATAATATTTTGATGACTGCCTCAACCACAAGGAGCACTATACCCCCTGTACCTTAAAATATGCAATACATTTTTAAAAATCTGTTAAATTATATATCCCCAAAAGATGCCATTGTTTTAAGCATAAATTCTGTTTACAAATTGTGTTTCCATAAAATGTAAATAAAGATATATTTAATAAAATATAAAAATCAACATTTAGTTGAGGAAAATAAATATTTATATATATTTAATATAACGGGAGAAGTATATACCTTAATTTATAATGTTCATTAAACCTCGATATTTTTGTAAGAACGCAGCTCGAAGTCACATTAAGTTCAGAATGAATTCTATAATTATTATATAATAATATAATATAATAAAACATAAAATTGTATCAAAACTTTATATATATAGGAACTCTAGAAAAAAAATTACCTGCCCCGGGTGAGGCTCGAACTCACGACCTTAAGATTATGAGACTTACGCGCTGCCAACTGCGCCACCGAGGCCTTCTGACGTCCAAATGGTCTAAGGGGAGCCTTTTTAAGGAGTGCAATTAGGGAATGCAATTTTGATTTTTTTTAAATCAAAGAAAATGTTTCAGGAATTAAGAATCAAATACATTTTAAAGTCCTAACAACGGCCAACTTTTTACTTAAATTATGAAGGGAATAAAGGCTGGATTGTTTTACACTAAAATTACAATTAGAACTTAATGACTTGACAAATAAACTAACAAATTTTCTTAAGCTAATTAAAACAAACAATTTTAACAATATTAAAACTAACATATCAAGCAAAAAACAAATGCTACTTGCTGAATGATCAGTTATTTCCAGATATATGTTTGTACAGAAATATGATCTCATCTCCTGTCTTGTGGTGCAGCAATAAAGTCTAATCAAAATGTGTTTGTTGTCCCATCCAAAGTTCAAAATCTAACAAGAAACTTGTGACGACGCCAAGCGGAAAACGTCGTGGAGGAGCTCAATGATGACCGAAGGGGTTGATTTTAACTCTGAGATGTCCGAAGGGGATGACTGGGAAGAAGGAGGACCCAGAGCCAGAGCCGGACGCCGGACGCCGGAGAGCACGTGAATATCACGAGCAAAAAGCGTCGATCATCAATAAGCGATCAATGACACTGCAAATGGAAGCGGAAAGCGGAAAAAAATCAAGCCAAGTTCAGGGAGTTTTTTTTAATCAGAAGCTGAATCAGTATGTGTAAGTGTAAAAGTATATTTTTATTTTAGAAGTACTTAGTATTTATTTTGTTGATTTACTTTAATATTAATATGTCATGGAAGTTTCCAAGCGTCCCCTACTAATTTCCCTTTTATTCTTGATAAGCTTTAGACTTTGTTGCTTTGTGTTTGATTTTCGTTGATTGTTTTTTGCTTTTTTTTCAGCATTGAAAACTGTTATCAATGCAAGTGGCTTGCACCTCCCCCCTCTTGACAGTGCAAATTAGGCGACGAAACCGGTTTCCCGACACCAAAAATGAAATTAAATGTAAACTTCAAGCGGAAAGTTACAGCCGAAAAAATTACAAAAAAAAAAATGTAACAACGGATTTCGACGAGATATTCGACGGCGAAGGTTCAATGCACCTTGGAGCCTGAGGGGGGGCTGTATCTCTTATCAAATAGACACCGAGAGGAACAAGGGGTAGTATGAATATTACGAGAAATATCTGCCACAACCAGATAGTCAGTCACTCACAGGAAGCTAACCATAGACGTAGTGTATATTTTTTAGAATTAAGACATTTTTAATAATAAATGTACCCATATTGCAAAATTCTGGTTACGCTCATGCTTAACAAATTTGTCGCCATTCGTTTTTGTTGCCACTGTCAACATCGGTCACCTGAATGGACCAAGAGAGCAAAATAAACAAAAATGGTAAAACGTGGGGTTTAAAGATTTAATTTACCTCGTAATTTGATTTTTTAAAACTAGAATGAAAATAATGAAAAAGTATTTTACGTTAATACTCGTACATTGCTTGATATATTATTTAAAATGCTTATATAAAATATTTATTTTATTAATTTTTAAAATATGTGCGGCCTTTTGAGCTCCCGCAGAGATGCCCCGCCATTTGGCTTTTGTTTTTCAAAATGACAATATACCCGGTGCCCATGAACTGCGCGTAAAAACAGCACAAAAACTACGTCATTGTCCGACATGGACAGAAAAAAAAACACCATGCACATTCTTTTTTTCTTTCATTTTTTTTTTTTTTTTTTTTTTGTTGGTTTGTTGTTTTACCCAATTTCCATACACTGAAATTTATGGGGGCCAACTGTTAATGGGAAATGCTAGACAATTAAGCGAGACAGTTGGGGGCCTCACCAGATATTCCTGGTTCTTGCCTGCAAGGGAAAAAGTATTCGAGAGAAGTATTCGAATAAGAAAAAAATAGATATATTTTTAAATTTTTAAATTGAAATAGTTTCCAAAAATAAGCTGCAATATTGTAAATACCATAGTATCCCCCAAATCCATATATTTTGAAACTTTAATTTTTGGCAAACTTTTAAAATTGATTTCAAATCCTTGCCGTTTTCCGTATGTACAATATTATATTACAATATTTCTAGTCAATATTTTTAATGGTGACCACACCTTATAATATCACCATATACATATATAAATCTAGGATTTCCGTCTTTCCCTTTCTCTCCTGCATCCTGACACAAAAAGGACAAAATGGAAAGCTATACTCATAAAAAGAAAGCACCCATAGAGACACACTCATTCACACACAAAGCCAGTGCCCTGGAAGAGGAGGGGTTTGGGTGTGTGGCGTCACCAACTGAGCAACAAGTTACAACAGGAAGATGGCCAGACAGGACACGACAGGACAACAGGACAGACATATGGCAGCAGTGCTGAGCTTCTAGCCATTTTATTTTTATTGATTTAAAAGAAAGCTAGGAATTAATATCATAAGAGGCACTTACAACTTACATATTTATTTTTTTAATAAATCCCCAAATATATAAAAACAAATTAATATTAGGAAAGCAGGGGTTGAAATCTGTAGCAGCTTGGAATGCTCACTTGCAAGTCCCCATTTATGTATTTTATTTAAGTACTTTGGAGCATAGATTTTGGCGTTATTATTTTTTTTATAAACAAAATTCTTGAAAAGTTGAATATTTTCAGAAAAAATTTCTACTTGCCACATAAAACAAGTTCAGAGTTGAATAAATTAAAATATATAAAACCTTTTTTTGTATATTGCAAATTATCAAGGACTACAAAATATAAAGGACACTGTTATAGCTTTTTTCTATCCGAATTTATTGGCAACACTGAGGCAGCCATGAATATAAACAAGGTTTGCACTGTTTGCGGGGACATTTTCATTTTCATTATCAATGTTAATTTTCATTTTCAATTGCTCAATTGTAAGCCATCGCCACTCCATTGAATTCGTTTGGCAATTAAAAGGACTTTGCCTGGCCAATTAGTTTGGTAAAACAGAGGTGGAAAGAAGTTTGATTGATTGGACGACAAAATTAGGGGTCTGTATGCATACACAGATTACTATTTTTGATCAGTAGGAGGAACATTCAATTATTCTTTTTTTTTATTAAATATGCTATAAATATATATTTTAAAAATTCCATACGATCTTCGGCTTCTTGCTTGCGTGTGACCACTGTAAGCAGCTGATTGATCAGATGGTCAAGCTGTTAAAATCCTCATTAATTTAATGAAAACAAATAAAAGAAACTTCTGGCAACGCCGATCTCTTGCTCACTCATACAAGCTTGCAGAACGGCGCAACAAGTTAACGTAAAGGAGAGGCAAAGAGAGACAGCGAAAGGGAGAGCGAGAGCATTTGCGCAACTGCAACTGAGTCAAAAGGCCAACATGCGGACAATGCTACGAGAGAGAGGAGGAGGAGAGCCTGCAGGATGGTTGGGGTGTTTTAGGGGGGGCAGGTAGCGGCGGCCAGCACATTGCAGCATGACTTTCCAAATGCAGCGCAACAACAACAACAACAAAACTTCAGACAAAGAACGAATGTAAACAAAGAAGGCAGGCAGGCGCGTTGCGTGGCGTTGTTGTTTGTGGATTTTGGCAAGCGAAGTGCAAGCCAGTTCTCCCTCTCTCGCTCGCCCTCGCAGACGGCATTAGAACGCGATCTTGAAACACACTCACTGGCGGCGGAGCGGCTCTCTGGCGCTCTCTTCCATTGCCTTTGGGGACGTACGCACAGTGTGTCAAAAGTGCGAGTTCTTGCTTTAACTGAGAGTCCTTCCAGAGTGTCATAACCATTCACTAATAAATATGAATTGAATAATTTGAAATGCAAAAGTCAACAACGATTATTTTTTGTTTCCCTGTTGATTTCTTACATTTTCCATTGTGTGCCACCTGGCACAGCGGGTAAACAAATGCAGTCCTTTCAAAGCTCAGAAAATATTAACCCAAATAAGGGACCTTTAAAAGTTGGGCAAATAAAAAAGTCAGCGGAAACAGACAAGCGCAAAACACAGCATGACGCTGGGCTCAATCACTTTTCGCCCCACTGTGCGGCGGCAAGGCAGCGGCAGCGGCGGCAAAGCAGCGACGGGACAGGCCGTCGGCAGAGCAGTCAGTATCGATTGAACAGCCGCGCGTAGCTCATCGGAGCGAAGAACCGAGGAAGAGAAGCGAAGAGAGCGAGCGAGCGAGACGGACAGGGCGATAGAGAAGGAGACAGGAAAGGGAGCAGACAGAGACGGAGACGGAGACAGTGAGCGCCTGCCGCCCCCTCTTTTGTAATAAATAGCGCTGTGCGCGGCGACCTTGCTACCAAACGGCAAGAGTCCGCTGAGAGCGAAGCTCAAAAGAAGAAAAAACAACCACCCACACCCCCTCTTGAACAAAAGGGAGAACAACTGTAGTGAACGTGAAAAAGAACAAGTCCAAAAACAGCTGGAAATAAAAACTAATAAAACGCGCTGCTGGCCAAAACAAAGGGCCGAAAGAGAAAATCGTAAAACAAAACAACAAAAAATATAAATCAAATAACTCCAGCAAGTGCCTTAAAACAAAAACACAGAAAAATACGAGAAACCCACCAAACTCGCAACAAATCAAACGGAACGTGATAAAATATTATTGAAACATAAGAAACATTGATCAAAAGCAATTTTTTTCCAATTTTTTTTTAAATGTGCTGCAAGTAAACCCCCAATTAGAACTCACATCGAAGACACAAAACAAATAAAACAGCAATAAAGGAATAAAAACGTAAATCTATAAAAACAAAATAGAAATAAAAACAAAAATCGAAAGAGCCACAACGTAAAAAATATCCATAAATCTATATATACTACTACTACACACCTCATATATATACAATCTATATGTATATATAGAGAAAGAGCTCGAGAAAACAGCGAAAACCAAAGGCAGCTAGACAAAAGCAGAAAAGCAGCAGCAGCAGCAAGCCAGCAGTCAGTTAGTCCAGGAAAAGCAGAAGACGCGGCAGAAGGAGGACGAAGAGAAGAAGGAGAACACAACAACAAAGAGCAGCAGCAGCGGCGGCGGAGGAGGAGGAGGAGCAATAACAGAGGAAATGGCCAGCAAACAACCCAGAAAAGTGGCACCCGATGGCGGATGGGGCTGGGTGGCCTGCTTTGGCGTTAGTTTGGTTAACGTAAGTCCAGTAGATACATATAACCCCTAAATATGCTACACATTCCATTCCGGGCATTTGCATTTCGATTAATTAGCTAACCCACCGGTGGGTTGACCTCTTGAACCCCATACCCAAAGCCCAGTGCCGTACCTCACTTGCAGGGTTTTCACTTAGGATAGGTTAGTTCCCGGCACGCTTTAGTAGTTGGCCAACACGATAAGATTCAAATATGAAATATGACGATATTCAATACGCATTTTCACATGTTAACACGCCCCGCCCCGCCCCGCCTGTCCGATTTATGGCTATAATATCTGTAATATCTGGCTTATTGCTGGGGCGGCTCATTACCGGGCCAACTTAATCAATAATAAATCCCTTAATGGACGACACAAGGGCCGCCGTCCCATCAAAATGAAACGATAAATATATATTGAAATTGTTGTTGTATCTGCTAAAATATTTAATGGACCGCGAGACTTAAGCCTCATTAAAAGGCCATTTGGTGAATTTAACAAAATCATAATCAAAATCTAAGCGTTTAACAAATGTGAATTTATATTTTTAAATGTGAAAACATTATCATTACTTTATATCCTTTTGGCCAAGTTATGCTTAATATAGTACATATAGGTATATAGGCAGAAAACTCACATCAAACCATAAACAATTATCAAATTGGAAAGAATGAGCGAAGCCTGGCTTCTACCTGAGCACTTGTATCTTGTATCTTGTATCTGCATCTGTATCTGACGCGTATTCTGGCTGCACCCCCGCCGATTGCTACACCCTTCTGGATGCAGACGGAGAGACAGGCATGCAGGCAGCAGGGTAAGAAACAGCTGCTCCAAACAGGAGACCCCGATCAAGGCCAAGGTTTGGGTTCTCCTCCGATCGGATCTCCTATATAGAGGCTGTCACGCACCCGCCGCGTGATCTCAACAAATGCGTCTCAACAGTGTTTTTTTTGTTTTTTGTTTTCTGTTCTGTTTTTGTTTTGGTTTTATTCAGTTTTTGTAGTTGGTTTTCTGTTTCGGTATATATGCCTACATACATTGGTTTTACTTAGTTTTTTATTTTGCTGTTCATGTCCCCCTTTTTTTTTTGTTACTGTTGCAAACAAGGTGAGGCAAAATAAAAAAGGCCCAAAATCAGTTGTCAGAGTATTATATATATTTTTAAGAATAGGCTTTTTGGAACAAAACACTTACCGTATTCGCACATCATCAAAATAGTATGATATCATAATTATTTAAATGTCCTTTTGGGATTTTTTTCTATTCCATCAACACTGTTGGATGAACAAAAGAATTTATAATTCATAAAATTAAGTTTATAAAATATAAAAGGATATTATAAGTACATGTAATATTTTTAATAAAAAAAAAATTCGATTCCTCCTTCGATTCAAAATCTACTATAGCTTCAGTTCCGATTTTAACATGGAAAAATATTTTATAAATTTTATAGATAAAATCCATGACTCAGTGTGAATGTCACAAATTCAGATTGTGGCAATTATGTAATAGCCTTTAAATTACCATACCTTTCCACATCTTTCCATATCAGCAATGACCAACCAGGGGACTGACTTACTCTCGGTAAATGAGTCGCAACGATATGCAATTAGACATGCTAATTTGTGTGAAGCCAAGCAGAATATCTCGAAAATTGACAGCACTCTGATGATGGTTCCAGGCTCTGCCTGACAATGGTAATGCGTACAATAAAATGTGGGCATTATTCTAGAAGCTTATATCATCTGGGCAACAATTACAGCTAAAAAGAATGGGGCAACTGGGTGGATATAGTCATGATGATGATGATGATGATGATGATGATGATGTGAATGAATTGTGACATGGATATTTGAGGGCAGCTCGAAAAGTTGGGATTGGATATTCCTATTGAGATTTTAGATAAACATTTATGCGGGTTTTGTGTTACTGGTAAAAAAATATAATATTTATTTATTTAACCTAATCATTTACAAATGTTTTTCTTTAATCCTTTGTCAAATTTCCAAACCAAAATATTCAAAATAAATAAGGTAATTAATTAGAAAACAAAATATCTACAAGTTATACTGATATGTATCTTTTAAATGCCATCCATTAAGTCAAACTGAGCTCCTCCTTCGATCCATCATAGTCCTCTTCCCTGGGATATTTATCGGTCTACCCACCCAAAACCCCACCTCTTGGAAATAAGAACAAAACACTAGACTGAATGCCACCTTCCCCCCACCAATAATGCGCCGTTTGCAAAACAAATCGAGTGTGTGTGCCTCTATTATATATATTTTAAACACATATACAAACAAGAAATGACAAAAAGCTAACTTTGGCTAGCCGAAGTTTGTATACTCTTGTAGTTTGCAATTGGAGCATCTATCCATTTTGGTCGAATGAAAAAAAAGGAAACTGTTCACCTTTTCTTCAAGTTTTTCTTTTTTTATAGTTTAAAGTAGTATTTGGCATTCAATAAAAGTTTCTCATTTAAATAGGTGTAATGTTAAAATGTTAATGTTAATAACGAGATCCTTAAGCTTGAAAATATGATTTTTGTACTCACATTAGTCTATGTCCCTCCTCTGGTTGATTAATCTCCTTGATTTTTCTCTGATCTCAAACTCTCTCCGGTGATATCTGCTCGTTTTCTCAATCGGTCTCTCAAATAGCAAATAAACCCGAACAGACAGGGTATACTGATAAGTAGCACAATAAGTAGCAGATCTTTTAGGAGAGAGTAACCACAAACCCACACAACCACCCAACCACACAGCCCCTGCTACATCTACCCCTCTTACCACTCAGAAGATGCTAAAACTAGTTGGGAATTATAGTATCAAGCGAGTGTATTTTTAAAATTATTTATTTATTTATTATTTTTTTTATTTATTTAAAAATTGTCTTATAAATATAGTAATCCGAAAAGGGGGATTTCCAGGGGAAGCCGCAAATCGCTATGTCTCCAATTTTCAAGTAATTCAATAAATGAACTCAATTTCCAGAGACACAAAACAATCAACATCCTCATTATCAAACGATTAATGCCGTCCTGGAATCAGGAACAGGGCCGTGCAAATATATCCCATGGAAACAAGATAGATAAGATATTGATGGTGACCCACAACCATCACCACCACTCGCTTGGTCACACGCCCAACTTGTTGGAGACTTGGAAATCTCAAGTACTTTGGTACCTTGCCCGAAAATTTAAGGCACTCGTAAAATTTAATTGATCCACAATAGAATACAAGGTGCGAGGCGAAAACAAAATCTATCATCATAATCATCATCGTGGAGGAATATTGGGGTTAGATGGCAACTGCCTGATAGGCCAATCACTCGATTATGAGTGTGTATTGCTCAGTTAGTTAGTTACTCTAGCTGCCTTTTTTTTTAGGTTAAGTTCGAACGACAACTAACGACTAATCTTGTTTGTTTTCGTTCCGCCGGACTGGCACTATCTTCGACCAACACAACACCCAACCGACCGACACGTTTAATCGCTTTTAAATCATTTACGAGGCAAATTAGCACTTGAACCTTATACAACACGAAAGCCCAATAACGAAAACTGCTGCACCATAAACAATAAATCGCTGAAGCTGGTAAAGAAATAGCAAACAAACAGCATGAGTCTCAGGTCTTTTTTATATACTACATAGAAGAGGGAGCGCGCTGCCCTGTTGCCAGGTTGCCTGAAGAATATTGTTTTTCTTTTCCAATGCAATCTTTTACCGGAAACACTCATACTCTTGTGGTAAATATATACTATAATTTAGCAAGCAAAGATTGGGATTTGCAAAAAAAATAAAATTGGCATTATCCAGGCGAAAATAATAAAAATTAGCAGCTTGAATATTAAATAAAATATTAATAAATTTAAAAATAAATACAGAAAAAATTGTAATAAAAAAATTTTAGAAAATATTTTAGACAGATTAGACTTAGACTAGAGCAAAAAAAAAACACAAAAAAAATTGAAAAAAAAGGAATAAGTGAATTAAATAAGCAACTGCAAGAATTATATGAATTTTAATATTTATACAATATTAAAATTATAATTAAATATATGCCAATTGAAAATTAAGTTTAAAATGAAATAAAATTAAATATATGCTAAAAAAGCTTCATATAATTTATTTTGAATTTTAAATACAAAAATTTTAATTTCTATTAAACATCTAAATATTTATATATTTTTATATTTCACATTTGTATATTCATTATTTTTAAAGAGCTAAAGACATTTCCTCCTTTGATATATATTCCTTTTATATAAATAATTTGTTTATGTCGCAAAACAAAAATTGGTCTAATCCCTGGGCATTGTTTAAAAGACCTTATCAAAAAGCAAAGCAAAAAGAACAGTGTCGTCGTCTGACTGTCTGGAGGGCCCCAGGCCAAGATAAAGACACAAACCTGCTGCTGCTGTGCTGCTTCTGCTATATAGTCAAATATATCGGGGCAAAACCAATTGAAAATTCGACTAGAAAAATAAATAAATTAAAAACTCGCGGCTTGGCCCATTAGCAAAAGCACGTGATGACCGGATAGCAAAAAACAGACCAACGAGAGCAGATAAAACTATGGAGATATATGCACAGACATCAAATGTATATAAAGCGAAATTGGATTCGCTTCGAGGTTATCGACTTATTTCTATGTATAAACATTGGGTTTTAAGCTCATCGGAATAATGGCTGCATTTAGCCGGAACAAAGTGGATGATGTCCAACGGATCTCTAGTTTTAGGATTTTTAATTACATTTTTTAAAAAATTATTAGAGTATTTGGAAAGGGGGAGTTATATTCAGGAGGGTTATCAGTTAAAATATATATTTATATAATATATTTAAACTGTTTGCATTGCAGTTAGATAAAAGTTAGGAGAGTTAAGGTTTACGTTGTGCTTGTGATAGTTAAAACAAATAAAATAATATAATTATATAAATATATATATATATTTAAATAAATAAAATGATAAAAAACTCGTAGGTATTTCTATGA